CCAACCCACAGAGAGCGCAGATGCAGCTGCTCCATAAAAGCTTCTGAAATATCCTGTGTCTGACATAAATAAAAGTGACCTTTAGTATCAATCTCCATCTCTGTCTGCCAATAATTGGCTAGCCATTTTCTAAAACAGCAAGCATACACAGCATGCTTGGCACAAATTTCTCCAGAAAAGAAAGGGTTTCATAATTCTTTATGCCTTCCGAGTATCTTTATGCAGTATATAGATGTTCGCATACAAATTCCCATGTGGCTCTATATGTATACACACATATGTACAGTGTGCAGTGGTATCTTTCACAAAGCAAAGCAACACTTGCAGTATTTTAGTGTACCAGCCTGATTCTATTAACGTACTGGAATAAACCAGGGCAGATGCACCTAAACTGGCCAATATGTAAGTAGTGGCAAACTGCTTTCAGTGAAGAGTTGGGTGTAGATTGCCTAGCTAATCCAGAAGATGGAAGAAAGAGCTTTAGACAGTTGAACAGTGCTGTCCATCTTGGAATAGAAGCCAGGAAATTGGTTAATTTTCATTTTGAACTCCAGGTCTGAAAGGATAAGGCAGTCAAATTTTAGCACTAGCATGCAGCTTTCTGTTTTGATTTAAAAATAAAGCTAATCTAATAGTTTGTGAATGAAAAAAAAAATTAAATTAGAAATAAATTCTTGTCACTGCAGTTTGTAATATTTATGAAAATCACTACAGGATTTACTGGGTGAGTTCTAGTAGCTGAAAATATTATTTGGATATTAAAAATATACTCTAGGAGCTACATATGTTTTCTGTGAAATGCTTACGGCAATTTCATTTCCTATGATTTCATATTTATTAAATATCACTTTTGTTCTCGGTATGTGATCTCTGCTGTCTGAATTGAAAGCATGTCTGGAAGGGACTCATACAGTATTCTTGCTTTGTTTTGTATCTTTACATAAAATAGCTTTGATTTCATTGCTTTTTGCATCATTGAGTGCTTTTGATTATCTGCATTTTTACAGTGAGTTACTCTTACATCACACTGCAGGTTCACTATTGTTAGTCTGTTGGGGGTCCTTGATTAGCTGCTAGCAAGTTCTCCTTTTCTTCTGCTTCCACTTCAGTGCTGTGGTTGGAGAGTCAGTGATCCTGATGAGAAATGTTGGGAATTCCGTGTGATATTCTTGCATGTGTGCTTGCTCTGAATGTGTCTCTCATACATTCACAATGTCATACAAAAGTTTCATTTGCTATTTACCACTCTTCTCCTGAAGAGAATAGCAAGGTACTAACCTATATGGGAACCTCTGCATTTAATGGTTTTGTTTGTTTTTTTTTTTTTGCCATTCTCCAATAAAGCATACAGAGTAGGAACTGTAAGTGTTTATGGTCAGTATCGAGAAGCAGTCATTAACTCTTAACATTTTTCCCAGATTGTTGTAAACCATGTTGAGCTATCTGTGATCTGACAAGCTGCTGATTATTTTTCCCATGCCCAAATGTGATTTTCAACTTCTTTTTTAATGTACGCCAAGACACTAACAGACAGCTTGGATCACATGTATTCAGCCAAATAATTGTCACTCAAACAATGGCTTTGTAATGATACGTGCTTTTTTGTCAGCATCAGTTTTTGTTTTATAGAGTAACATTTTCTGTAATTCTCTCAGGGGAATTATCCTTAAGCTTGCTAGCAATACTGGATGCTCCTTTTGTGGCTCAATTTGTCTTACTGTAGATAATGCAGAGATTCCCAAATAGTGTAGCCTATGGTGGGGATGTTCCTGCAGGTCAGCGAAGATGCGGTTTTGACATCCCCAGGCTCCCCAAGGTGGTGGTTGAATTACTATCCCTGGATGTGTTTAAAAACCTTTTGGATGTGGCGCTCAGTGACATGACCTAACAGAGGGCTGTTAAAGTTGGGTAGTAGGGTTAGTCATGGTTGGACTTGATGATCTTTAAGGTCTTTTCCAACCTGAGTGATTCTACGATTCCCACTCGCAGAGACTGAAAGGTCCCTGCAGCTTCTTTTCCTGAGACTATTGGGTAAAGTGAAATGATAGATATCTTGCAGTTTTGCAAGAAGAGAGTGAACTTTTCTCAGCTCTTGGAAAAAGTAGAAACCAATTCCTGTCAGCCCTCCTCAGTGGAGGTGGCTCTCTGCAATGTTCAGATCTTCAAGCATGTCAAGATGCAATGTAATTGAATTACTTGTTAAAGATCTTGGAGGTATATTTAACCTAAATCAACAGCAGTTTAGAAATAATTGTCCATAGGATTCACAGATTTGCTAACAGGGAAACTGTCTGCAGAAGTGAATCTGATTTGCCCAATGGCTTGGCCATTTCAGTGGTTGTTTCTGCAAAGGTGCTGAATAGGAGCTGTTTGATATATATTGATTTGATATATATTTTCCCCTTAGCTTTCAAGATTTAATCTAAATTTCAGTAACAATAAAAGGGAGAGTTTTTATGCACTTACAGAGTTTCTGAACAATCACTGATGATATAACTGTCTGGAGCCAGACAGTGCTGGCACTTGTAAGTTGAGTGAGGTATTTAATCTGCAGGGTAGATCTTAGCTTTGACTTCTTCATTATTACTTTAAAATTAACAATTTTATTTTGGGTCCAACCAGAAGTTATGCTGCATACTTGGATGCTGAACTATTTATTTTCAATCAGATACAGACCAGGATACAATGACCTTCATCAGCCTGAAGTGTTCATTAATGTGCGCTCTGAATTAACTGAAAATAAAATAAATAAGAAGAATCCCCAACCCACTGAAAAGTCTGCATCACAAGCATAAGCTTTTTTTGTAGGATTTTGTTAAAAAGCTTAGGTATTTTTTCCTACTTATATGCAATGGTGGTGGGAGGATTGCATTTTGCGCATCTGTTCTTTAACATTAATATGTCTGGAGAGCTCAAATCAAAGTAGTACGAATGCTTTTAATGTCAAAATGCAAGTATTATCTTAATGCAAAATCATAGGATTGGCTTATAGGTGTGAGTAAATTCTACATGGGCCTGAAGAAATGGTTTATTACAACACACCTTACAAGTTAAAGGATCCATCTCGTCTTGTTTTCTGCATCTAGTAGTTTGTATTTCAAAGGAGCAAGCAACATCTAAAAATAAAGCAACAATGGAGGAAGAAGAGTTCCTCTCTTGACTTCTGCAGGCTGAAAATGTATGCATTTTATTTAGCATTTGAAATGTAGCTAGCATTTGACAGTTAACTTGCCTTAATCATTCCGTTAATAAAAATAATTGTACAACCTTGAGCTCTACTGCTGATCACTGCAATCTGTTTACGGCATGATCCATGAGGATTACTGTTTTCCTGTGTTTTGCTTAACATTGCTTTTTTTTTTTTACCAGTGCCGATGTATAATGTGACTGTGCTGATGAACGCGTTTTGTTATTGATCCAAGAGACCTTTAAGACAATCTAATTTCAACCCCACTGTTGGACAGGGGGACACCAGGCAGGGATACCTCCCTCTAGACCAGGTTGTTCCAAGTCTCATCCCACTTGACTTTTCATGTTTTTTCTTTTTCCTTACAAAACTTACAAGTTTTCTTGCAGGGTTAAAGGCACTGAACCACCGGTGCCTTTTGACACTTTGTCCAACAACAGGCAGGTCTGAGCTCTTTGCCTTTTCCCATTTGAGGTAATGAGGAAAGCTCCTGCTGACTTCCAGGCTAGGTGAAATACAGCCTTGGGTAACTCTATGGATGCTTGCCAGTAGATTCAAACTCTTCTGTGTGTGCTTCTAAACTTTCACATCAGCACCAGCTTGTGACTGTGGACAGTCCTGAGTGTGTAATAATTAATGAGAAGTAGTGCGCGTATGTGTTTTTTCTGGTCTGTGTGAGCTTTACTGTATGAAATTCTGTTTAGAATGCATATTTGTATAAAGGCATTGCTTCTGAGTTTCAGAGAAATTGTGAGCAACAGATGGACTGTCTATGTGTGAATGTATGTTCAGCTCACGCCTGCCAAAATGCAATAACAGAGGTAAGATAATTAAGTATGGGATGACACAGTATATGTACAATTCAGATTGAAAATGCGTACCCAAATTAATACACAAGTGAACTCTGGGGCCAAAGTACCTACTGAACTGACCATACATACACAGTAATAGTGCCTGACAGCTAAAAGGTCTCCAGGGATCACATTAGCATCTGGCCCCCCTACTCATAGGTAGAGAAGCATGGGTGCCTCTTTGGGACAGTTTACCATACGTAGTGTTGTATACATGTGTACACACAAAAACACACATAACATACAGGAAAGGAATAAAGGGCTTGAAAAGTGAATATCAGGAGCCTTCTGGAACTATTTTGAATTCATAGAAAAAGAAGTTGCAGGTTTCTAAATTGCTGTGGAATGAGTAAATAATGAGAACGTTGTTATATCCTCATATATGCTTTGGATATCAAATAATTATTGAACTTCAGGAGATGACCCAAAACAACAGAAATAAGTCTCAAAAGAGACATTAGAAGGCAGAACTCTCCACTCCCAGTACTTAGTATCCAGGCCTTTTTAACAATCTCCTCATGCTGTTTAGATCCTGACTTTTAGTTAAGGATTGCACACTGCTTGAGTAACTGTGTAGATAACAGCAATAACATCCCAACCCTGGATTCTGAGCACAAGCAGTGGTAGAATTGCGGGTGATGGATCTAGCTTAAGGCTCAGGGTCTGGCTTTTACACTTGGCAAAGTTAGAATTCAGGTGTTTGATGTCAATGCTACTGTCGCTTCCCCTTTTTGTAACACCCCCTCCTCTTTTTCCCAAGGTATTGAGATCCTCAAGCAGTGGAGCAGATGAAGTTTATTTTTTTTTTATTTTTAAAAGGTATTTTTATCCAAAGCTCTCAGAAGATCTATAACTTATCACATACAAAAGTGCTCTGAGGGCTAACATATCCAGTTTATCACAAATGGCAAAACTGAAGCAAGGAGATAAAAAGAGCGTTCAGTAAGCAGGCACAGTGAGACTTGCATTTGAAAACTTTTAATTTATTCTAGATAGTATCATTTATATTACTGTATATCTAATCCCATTACTTGGATCTGTTTTCAGTTGCTTTCATGTAAGAAGTATGGCTTTGTTTGGTTTTTAACATAATTACTGGTTGAAGATTTTACTGAATTTTTACCTACTTGGGGAAAAAGAAGTTATTATAAGGCATAGCACTTGATTACACTTAATTCCAGTGTAACCATTGTGTTAGATTGTTCGTATTTCCAGGCATTCTGACTAAAAGATGATTAAGATGAGACAAATAGGTTAAAACTTCTTTATCATCAAAGTCAAGTGCTACATAAACTAGTTATAAGGCTGCTTGCGTTTTGGATCCTGAGCAATATAAAGAGCAACACATTCCTCAGATCTCTTCCAGCAGTACCTGGGAAAACAGAGATAACCCAATGTGTATGGGGGAATATGGGATGACAAACCATCCACACAAACAACTAATGTGCTTATACTGCTGAGAAGCAGAGAAATTACAAACAGGTTCTCTTCTGCTTAAACTTGTTCTGTATTGGTATGTCTTGTTATATTTTTGGGAACTACTCTATGTCATCACCCATATAAGCCAAACATCATGACATAGTAAGGAAGAATTTCTCTTCTTACAGATGAACCAAGGGGAAAGGCATACGTTGTGATCTCAATGACATGAGGGTTGAAACATATAAGCACAGATTTTTTAGCAACGTAAGTAACCAAAATATTTGTGTATAAGAGTATTTGTGTCTTGTGGTCAAACACTGTCACATTAGCTTTTTATGCTAGTTTCAGAGATGGCCAGAGATCAGTATCAGTGTACAGTAGCAACACACACAATAACATCTGATGCAGAAAACTGGTAAATGTCTTAACCCAGAATGATCTGTGCTGGCAAATCTCTGCACATGCATCATGCCAGGACTTTGAAAACAGTCTCATTCATTGGACTGCAGGATTGGGAACTAAATAAAGTGATTTCAGAGAGGTGGAGGAGGTGAGTACATACTGGAATCACAGATGTAGAGAGGCTCTACGCAGCCGGACAGTTTCAGATCTTTCAACAACTGTTTCTGGTGTTAGTGATTAGCAAAAATAATCACTACTACTCAATAGTTGGTTTTTGGTTTTTTTTTTTTGCTTTTGTTTTTGGTTGTTTTTTGTTTTGGTTTGGTTTTTTTTTTTTCCTTTTTTTTTCCTGTAAGAAACAAGGCCACTTATAACCATATATCTTTACTGCACTGCATTACCGGTGAGCATACATCCTTCTTCAGGGTGGGCACTTCATCAGTCTATGTCACTTTTCACAAGATTGGCAAATACTTTCCCTTTCTGTTCTCTCTGGAAACTGTTTTCACCAGTTTTTCTTTTACTTATATTTTATGTGTCATTACCATGAAATAGCCCTATGAATCTTACTCCAGGAGGAGAGCTGTGCTCTTGGCTTGGCACCCAAACCATGTTTTTGTTTTTGTTGATCAAGGCTGGTTGGAAGTTTAGAGTATCTGCTATGAGTGTATTCTCACTTTTCTTCATGATCTTTTGCAGGTTGTTTTTCTTGACAGTGTTTTTATTGTATTTTTTCCCAGCTTAACCATTAGGGGAAAGCTACATGAATTCCTGGCTTTGTTTGCTCCAGAATAGACTTTTGCCCTAAGGAGTAATGCAGACTATTGCAAATCCTGCAATCTCAGAGGCTGTGTTTCTGCAGGAGACATTGCACAGCTTGGTATGGACTAAATACACAATTTATATTGTTGGAGTCTGGGAAATCATTCATCTCTACTCACAAACTTTGGGCACGGACAAGAAGGCTATCACCAGCAGTTAGAGTCAGAGTTTTGCCATCCACAGTAAAGGTAGATGCACCCTCCTAAAGGGAAAGAAGAGATAGTCAGCTTTTAGTTATGTGTTCTGTCGTGAGTAAGAAGAAAATTCTGCAGGTAAGTATGGAAATATTTTCCACTGAAGGAGCACTTCTAACTTGCGCAGGTTTATGAGGGCTAGCTAAATATTCAGCTGATGTTCCCTGTCTGACACTATTAGCATCAATAAAAACATGCTTCATGGTTCATTGTTCCCCATCACAAAGCAGCAACTTATTGCTTGATATCTTGGGGATATGCTGCAACCAATCCAACCAGAGGTGCAACTCTCTGGAAATTTACAGAGGGAACATTCAGGAGTAATTCAATCTCCTTTTCGACTTTTCTGACTTCCTACTACCTTTTTACATCTTGAAAAGTAGTCCATGAGTCAGCAGGGAGCTGATAGAAATCACTAATGGGAGTTCATCTACACTAGAACACACTTCTCATTATCTTGTCAAGCAGAGGAACCAGATTCCTGCCAGCAACACAGTCTTGATTGCACGGTCTGCTGCGAGCTACAGTGTAAACAAGTGTCTTTCAAGATTGTTATGTCTTTAATTAGTAGTCGATGGTCCCCATGAATTTCAGCAGAATGGGAAGTGATAGAAACATCTGCTCCACAAGCTAATCTTGCTTGCTTTTCTCTGCAGTGTTTCACTTGAGCTGCATTTCCTAGAAGCCACTAGAAAGAAGGGCGTGTGGATCACCTACTTCTGCGCTTTAGTATAAACAATTTCTCAGATTGTTATTGACTTTGTCTGCCTGATTCCAGTTGTCCTACAGTATGTGGACAAATGCTTCAAGGCAGAAATAACAGGTGATAGCTTTTATTACATAGAGGCATACTCATATATTTAGAAGGTATCCCCTAGCAGAAATAAGAATCCTAACCAAGACCTGATGGAGGATGGCAACAGTTCCATATTCAACATACAAGGTAAGGGAAAAGAGGTGGTATTTTTAAGGTGGTAGTAATTTACAGTTATTTTTCACGAAAGTTTAAAGCCAAAAAAAGTTTCCTTTTTATGATGATTTCCATTACAAAGAAAGTAATAATCAATTTCTGTTGCTCTTTCCAGGAGGCTGTACTACTGCTCAGTTTGCTCTGACTGGAAATATGAACTCAAGGGTTAACAAGTATAAACTGAATTGTCACATACCAGCTGCCATATCCAGATATCTGAATTCTTTTTGCATTTTTCAGTTGTTCCTGGTCCATAAGCTATAACCTGGGAAAAAAAAAAAAAAAAAAAAGTCGGGGAAGAAAAGTAATAGATTCATCCCCACGAGTGAAGTGTACATATTCATGTTCCTACAGCACTTAAACATTCTATTTTTAAAGAAAAATGTTCTTAGAATCTGTCATTATTTTTACAGACATTAAAATTCACATTACATTTTGTATTCTCATATTGATTCTTCCTGATAAGATAAAAAGGGAACTGATCACACCTGCCACTCCTTATGCTCCTCTGTATCCTCGCTTATCTATTCCTACTGCCTCCTCCCACTCCCAGCTTGGCATCAACATCCTTCCTGCTTCTGTTCTGGGAACAGGCACTTCCTCCTCATGAACTCTGGGCCCTGTCAAGAGGCTGCTGAAGTAAAGAAGATTCTTCCAATAACATTAAAAAGGCTGTGGATCAGACCTTATTTTTCTTCAGTGTCTACCTTCTCTGTGTTCTTCGTGACAGACCCATGCCCCCTGTCACTCTACTGTCAGATAGTTTGGATTCTTCAGAGTGTGACTTCAAGTAACCCAGGGAGATAATGTTTTGTAAACTGTTGTGCTGTCAAGTGCCGACAGCTTCATTTGCACCCAAACTGGACTGTGTTTGACTGACCAAGAAGTGCAATGCTCTAGCATGGCCCTGGCCCTTGGGTGCTGTACAGTTCTCTTTTTTTCCATGTTATATAGGTTAAAAAGAGAAAAAAAAAAAAACAAACCACTGTGTATTTACACATTCAAATTGGACTTGGCAACAAGAATGCTGTAGAAACATACTGGGAAGCTAAGCACACTTGTGAGTAGTATTTGCATCATGCTGATATTTTTGATTCGAGAAATATGGGAGCGAGGGATGGAGAGAACTCTTTTAGTCCCAAAGGAAGTGAATGGAAATCAGACTCAGGTTGATTCTGCACACAGCAGTGGCTGAGATAGCAGGCCCCTGCCCTACATTCAACCAGGGCAATGGACAACAGTGGGCTTGTACAGGGGCCAGGCATGCTAAGGGGGAACTGCTCTCTAAGGGTGCGTAGTTTTCTCTGTCGTGAGGCCTGGATTCATACAAGGCACCTATTATCTGTACCTTTAAAAATCTCTCTTTTATAGCAATTTAAGCTCCTACCTCCGTTTCAAAGGTATCTCCAAACATTCTCAAGGATTGCTTCTGATTTATTTCTCCCCGATGATCATTCAACCAGCCTTGGAAGGAGAATGGCTCCATTACAGAAGAGCAATTTAGTGGGAAGGGTGTTTCTTTCAGGAGCTCATCTATAAAAATGGCAGAGAGCTGTTGGTCACATTTCTCTGGATCTTTGCAGAATTTTGCTGTTGCTTACAGCTTGAAGGGCTCATTGTAAAGACATTGTCTAGTTAAAAGACCATGACCATAGCACTGTTTGTTGCCACAATTATCGTAACAGTACTTGAGGTTAAGATGTGTGTCTTATTTGGAATCTAGATGAGGTTGCTTCTCTGTAGCTGTTGTCAGAACTGTTATATGTCCAGGCTTAAAAATACATTTGAAAAGTAGTGTATAGTTTTTGTTAATGTGTTCTTTGTTTCTTTCAGACAAGCTTGTGTCTTTGTACAAAACTGATATGTCATTTCTGACCTTTGCTGAGTCACTTCTTACACATCCCCATGTGAGTGGAATGAGACAACACAACCACCCTGCTCTCACAGAGTCAGTACTGGCTTTTGTGCTTCTTCTCCCCTGGGTGTTATTTAATGCACTGTCCACAGTGAAGCCAACTGGCTATCACTTTAAGTTTAATAAAAGGCTTTTCTTGTGGTGTTCCTGGATTTGTAGGTGGATTTAATTTCTAGTAATTTTCCTTCAGATCTGATTTAATTTAAAATAGATGGAGGACTGAATGCAATTTAACTGTAGCTAGTAAAATTCAAGATTTGTGCTGTGTGTTACTGCTATATGAAATTAACCTTAGTCATTTTCCAGCTCAAAGTGAAATGCAGAGACAGTGCAGTCACCTTGGGGATCCTAGGTAGTCTGTCCTGAGAAGCCACTGTGAAATACCTCTAGAACAATTTCAAGTAATTATGCCAGCCCAGATGCAGGAAAAACTCGTTAGATGGCTGTCTCCCGAAGGCATCAAGCTCATGACCTCACAGCCAAATTTTAGCCTCAATCATAAGAAGAGTAGGTTTTATTAAGTATCAGTATATTCCTTATTCAGAGTTGTTCTGATTCTTTCTAAAGCCATCCTTCACTGCTCTGCAGTGTTTTGAATGCATCCCCACAGGCTTTCAGGAGAAGCTATTCCAGATGCACCTTTGAACGAAGTATGAAAATGTGGTCAGTGCATCTAAGGCTCAGCAGTTTGCTGCATAAGCTGCTCTCATTTAATGGACCATAGTATGCACCAAGTGTCTATATTAATCTTTCTTGCTTTATAAGATTACAGTTTTAGTGATTTATTTTCACAGCATATGTCTGTTATTGTTTTCTCACTTTTCATAGGTCCATCAAGTTTCCTTTGGAGGTGATTAGAAACACTGCACTTTGCCCTTAAATTATGGATACACTCAAGTGCAGCTGTACTGCAAAGTAGTTTTTTAGTTAGAGACAGCTGCAATATAAATGTCTAAAAAACCATTGTGATTCAAATTCACACACAGATCAAAATAACAAAAATATGAATGTCTAAAATATCATCAGAAAGCATATTCATACACAAGAAGAAAAAAATAAAGAAGTTTAATCAAAAGGTATTCAAAGCAATGAGTTTCAAATAGACTTTAAAATATTTTGTTTCACCATTGGTAACAATCTTAATTTTCTAAATCAATATGAAGACAGCAGAGATTTTTCTGTTATTAGAATAAAACAAACCCCTTCAGTGTAGAAAAGCCTTTCTGAATACAGGAAAGTTAGCAGCTGGTAGGGTTAGTAAAGTATATATACATATATTATTTAGTAATACATATATGTGTGGGAATTGCTGAGTCTTGGCCTGAACCACTGATTGATCACCTGGGGAAAGGACCAGGTCAGTCCTCAGAGCTCAGGTGAAGGCAATTCAGCTGTGTGACTGGAAGGGGTGGAACCTGGCTGTATCTCTCTTAGACCCCATTTAAGGGCTGACTGACAAGGGGGAAGAGATTTCTGGAGATCTCTCCTTTTGGAGTTTTCTACTACAAGCCTAGGATGGGGGGTGAGTGTTTCATTTTTGATAGTCTCTTTCCACTATGATAATCTTTCTAATTATAAATCTGCAAAATATCATCCTACCTATGCCACTCTTCTAACTGTACATTTCTGAATTTTAGTATATGTGCACAAAAACATAAATATGTTATTTTCATATATATATATATATATACTTATATATGTATATATATATAAATACCATAAGAATCCTGCTCAGCATCACAGGATGCATCTTCTCCACAGATCAAGAATTCTAGTATCGAGTAAAGAAGTCAGTTCTGGCTTTGTTTGCTGGAGAGTGAACAGGCTGAATTTCTAGAGTGGGTACTGTGATATCACAGAGGAAGGATACTCTATGAACGCATGGAATTTGTGGGTTAAAAAAATACCAAAATATTCCCTTGCAAATTAGACAAGAAGCAAGGGGAATCTAATAATGAAAAGTAATTATGAACTTCTGAGGTAGTACCTTAGCTTCTTACTCTTAGTCAGAGTAGTTTTGCTCGCCTTCATAATTCTTGGGATCTCTGACTGCAGCTATGCTGTTCAACAGGACATCTCATTGTACAGGACTACAGGAACGCAATTTACACTTTGTCTTGAGCATATATAACACACTCTATGCTTATTACAGTGCACTGTCCTTTTTCTTTTTTTTTTTTTTTTTTGCTAAGTGCCCATGAATCACAAGTACAACTTAATTCCAAGTGAATATGAATAATTTTTTAAATTTAATCCTTGCCCTAAAGAACTGATGATCAGTCTTCTGATGCTTTCTTGTCAGTGGGACGTAGTGATGAGTTCAGAGCTTATGCCTAATTCTGAAGTTAACATCACTTAACTGGTAATAGTGTAATGGCCTCTGAAAACTGAGTTTGGACAAATTGAATTTTTAACTTGACCCCATCTAATGGTTCTGTTACTGGTTACTGCAGGACAAATAGGAGGGTGCTCTGATGATGAAAAACGTGATATGATATGTCTGATGTTGCCAGTGGTCTGCTTGAGTGGGTCCTCATCTAGGACTGACATGCATTCCTTGCATGAAGTAAAAGCTGCAGGTGACCTAATGCTTGTGAATTTGAGCTAAAGAGCTGCAACGAGGAGGACACAATATTCTGTAATCTTGCATATACTGGAGTTGAAGTCTGATGCTTTCAAAGAAACAGAGTGTTTCTTATCAGCTTAATGCTCTATATTTAGATATTTTTGCACGTATATAGTTTTGCTTACTCTTGTATGTTAGTTTTCAGTAACAAGAAATGTGATTTGGCTTGTTTCCAGAGTTCTTATGTTGCATTAGTATTGTGAGACAGAAACCTCAATGATTGTGAAGGTGAAAATTATGCTAACAAAATGTAGGAAGATGGCAATTCTGCACTAGTCAGCTGAAAGCTCTTCATATTTATCTGAATGATGAATCATTGAGTGGAAAACCAAATCTAATATATTCCAAATGTACTGTTCAGGAGATCCATTTAAATAGTTCTATAGTTAAGTTCATTTTTGGACCTGATTATTATCAAATAAATATCCACAGCAACGTTCTTTACGGTTTTTAGTACTTTTTTCAGCTTCAAATTAGAATGTGATGATATTGTGTATGGGAACTGTTAGGTTTTTGCCTGAACCAGTGATTGAGCACCTGATGGTCAGCCCTAGGAACACAGGTGGAAGCAATTCAACTGTGTGACTGGAAGGAGTGGAGTGAAGTTCACCCCCCTCTCACACGCACCTCATTTAAGGGCTGGCTGAGACAAGAGAAGCATCTCTACTTAGTGATTGTCTTCTTTGGAGTGTTTGGCAAGTCCTGATGCTTGGGAAGGGGTTAAGTGGTTCCTTATATATTCGGTATATAGATAGATATTATATATCCTTATATATCTTATAATAGATAATGACTTCTATTTTTGGGGGTAATTGAAAATGGTTTGAAGCAGCTATATTTGCTATCACATGCATTTGTGTTATGTTAAGCTGAAAAAATGTTGTGTTTGCTGAAAGCACTGTTCTTGCTCATTGTGAAAGTCTTTCCACCTTGAGTGGTGCCTGTCTCTGTGGGCTGTGGTCTTATCTCTAAGTAAAAGCATCAGGAAAGCCCCTTTGCAATAGTGTTACTTGCTGTAGTAGCAATAAACATCCATATCCGTAAGGGAATGTTTAGATCTTCTCATCCTTTAACTGAGCATAAACATGGTCTAGGCAAGGGCTAAGGAGTTATTTTAGAATTGTGTGTTTTCATAGAATCATAGAATCATAGAATCACCAAGGTTGGAAAAGACCTAAAAGATCATCCAGTCCAACCGTTCACCTATTCCCAATAGCTCCTACTAAACCATGTCCCTCAATACAACATCCAGTCTTTCCTTGAACACCCCCAGGGTCGGTGACTCCACCACCTCCCTGGGCAGTCCGTTCCAGTGCCTGACCACCCTTTCTGAAAAGTAATACTTCCTAATGTCCAGCCTGAATCTCCCCTGCCGTAGCTTGAAGCCATTCCCCCTGGTCCTATCACTAATGACACGAGAGAAGAGGCCGACCCCCAGCTCACTACAGCCTCCCTTCAGGAAGTTATAGAGAGCAATGAGGTCTCCCCTGAGCCTCCTCTTCTCCAGGCTGAACATTCCCAGCTCCTTCAGCCTCTCCTCATATGGCCTGTGTTCCAGACCCCTCACCAGCTTTGTTGCCCTCCTTTGAACACGTTCCAGGGCCTCAATAAATTTTTATTTCTATCTACTTTATTATTATTCCTTCCATCTCTCAAGGGATGCTATATAATAGTGAATGTTTCTGTTGTGACTCTTCTTGCAGTTTCATGTTAAATTGCTAATGCTGGCAATAATATATACCCTGGGATGTTTTTCCCTGCGTGTTCCTACCTAATTCCTGGAGTAGCCATTCTCAATGTTAATGGAAATGTCAATGAGACTAGTAGGAGTTTAATACCTTTGCAAATTAATTTAAAACATGTGGACTGCAAGACAGAAATTTAGACACCTGGATTTAGGAAAAAAAAATAGTGAACTTATTCCATATAAAAATCCAGAGCTAAAGCACCAATGATTATTACTTTGGAGTTAGTTGGTTCATTTCACTGTTGCTGAGTATAGAAGTGGAAAAATTCAGCTGAAAATGCACTGGGTGTAATCATTCTTTTTCCAGTGTAACTGTATTTATTTTTGTAGCGTGCCCTGAGAACTGGTGTGACTGCTAATTTATGACTTGTCCATGTAATTATTTCTAGGCACATTTTTTCTTTGTGTCATTAAATCTGTGCTAAAAAATAAACACTTTCTTAATTGAAACAGAAGTTTGATGTGGAAAGCTTTGAACAACATTACTGTAATAAAGAAATACTGCCTCTCCAAAAGGAGATATCATCATCATCTTCCAGAAGGAAGAGGGTAAATTAAAACAACAAAATTGCAATATTTAGTTTATCTTTCTGCTTAATGGCTTATTGCAATATAACAGCGTCACTGTAATTAAAAATGCCAGGCTTTAACCTTTGACCAGGATTCGGATTACAATCTTAAAGTTGGAAAACTTACCTACTGTTTCTGAACCTGCCTTTTATGTGGCTGTGGGCATCTCATTTTCCATAAGCCCTCTCTACATTTGTGGGATGAGGCTTTGTACAGCCTATGTGAGCTATTATTACCAAATAGCCTCAGAAACTCCAGTGAAAATATCAGACTGACAGTGTGAGTTGTCTGTTTTGGTTGTTGCTGTCTGGGGAATGTTTAACAGTGAGAGGGGAAAAGGTAGCTACCTTATTAGAGAAGATGTACCTGCTGTGAGACTGCTCTGAGCTTTAGAGCTTTTTAAAATACTAGATTTTTTTTTCCTGAAGTCTGAATGGAAAGGAAACAATTTTATATGACATTTCTTCCAATTTTCATGGCAGGTTTATTATATACATTATGTTCTTAAAGGTCAGCAGTGTCTTGCTTCCTATGGTGAAGCACAAGGACAGCTCTCAGATTGCAGTTTATGTTCTGCCTCCCCTGTAAGAGACTCCGCTGAGGATACTGCAGGAGAAGCACTCTTCTTCCTGGAGACCTTGGGTTTTTCTTTGGTGCAGTCATTAGTGGTTCTGAGTCCTGAATCAACTCCTGGTTCCAAGGAACTTGCAGCACTACTTGCTTTTGGGTGATACATTTAGGTTTGGGATAGAAGAGTTTAGCACCAGTTTTATAAGGCAGCCAGCGTACTCTGGATGATGTAATACTTCTTTATTGGTCTACTAAATGTTGCTAACTTAGGTTAGTTGTGATCTATCTGGTTTGTCTGAACTCTTCATTGCTATTGTTGGCTTTATACTCCTTGTAGTGATATATATCCGTGGTATGGAGCGTTTTTAAATGTAAAGGAAGGGGAATGGTTGAAGTGAAAGAGAGGTTGCATAATTAAGTGCGATTGTAGGTACATGTTAGATGACTCTAGTCTCTTCCAGGCAGCCTTTGGGAGAGAGATGAATGTGGCCTGGGAGATTCTTACAGTTTCCTGTGCAGTTATGTTTGGTCCAGGCAATTCAAAATGCTTGACTATTTTTAGTCAGCTTGAATACTGCTCTGTCCTGTACACTTACTGCTGGCAGTTTGCAAAGTACATTGCCAAGGGGAGTATTCCTACTATCTAAATGCTCACATGCTGCTGCTTGTAATAAGTGTATGTGAAGCAGAAAGAAGACAAGTAACACTGCAGATATGTGGGAAGTACCTAAAAGATGAGAGAAGAGAATCAAAAATTCCCTGTTATGATCCATTTCTGGCCTAGGTATTAAATCCTCCTTGAAAAAGGAAAGAGAGAAGTTTTCTCAAGCCCTATTACAAATGGTTAACAGAAGAGGCTAATAATATGGTACAAAATCTTTCCAGGAAAGGTGCCTCAAGTAAGGATTGCCTGTAAAGTATGTTTCTGACTGATTATATTTCACCTAAATGTGCTTGTCTAAAAGCAAGTCTTGTTAATGGCTACTCCTGCCTCTTCATGTATTCTGAGTATCCCACTCCCTACTTGGAAGAAGACTTTCTCTACTGTTGGCTAAGCCAGAAAGCATAAATAAATAAAAAATCTGGACGTAGACATGGAGGCTCTTTTTTTGGTTTTACATTAAAAAAAAAAAAAAAAAAGGCAATTGGACCTTGATTCCATTTATAGCTTTCCTGTATGAGTGAACTGCAATCAAGGTTTTCTTTGAAGATGTTTTTCTTTCATTTATCCCTGAAGAGAGCAGGCAATATTTCTGACTTACGTATAAATTAAGTTTAGAGTACTTCAGATGGCACTTCAAAAGTGAAGAGATTCTGGATTTTCTGAGGAGAAATTGAAAGAAGAGGCTGAAATCCAGCCCTTTGCATAGACCAATTTTAATCTTACAAGTGTTATGCTGGTTGTTGGCATCTGCTTCTTAAGAAGGCAAGAAGACAAAAAAAAAAAAAAAAAACCTGCTGAGGGAATAGATCCAAAGCATTATTTCTGTCATTGCTGTATAACTATAAAATTTGCCATCTTTTTTTCTCTGTGCACTATGACTTTCAATTTCTTAGTGTCCAAGAAAACTAAACACTGAAAAAACTGAGAAGCTACCTAGGCTGAAATCCAGCCATATAAGTTTGCCTGCCTTTTGCTTGTAGCTAGAGTTAGGATACAAACATTTTAAGTATTTGTTGTCTTGACTTAGATGCTGATGTAAGGATTACAGAATCACAGAGTGGCCTGGTCGGAAGGGACCTCAAGGATTATGGATCTTCAACCCTCCCTGCTACAGGCAGGGCCATCAACCTTCACATGTAATACAAGACCAGGCTGCCCAGAGCACCATTCAATCTGGCCTTGAATGCCTTCAGGGATAGAGCAGAATCCATCTGGGGGGAAAAAGGTGTATTGAGTTCTGAGCAAAATAGGAACACTGACTTGCTTTATTTATTTCCTGTGTCTTGAAAAGGCTTTTTTCAACTTTAATTGAGTTTCTCATGCCTTTTGGCCTCTGTAAAGCTTTTTGAATGGCTTACAAGGAAAAGCTCATTTACTGGATTTATCAATAACTTTTCAAACGTTTTTTTAAAGAGTATTGAGGATACCATAACTTCTGATTGTCAGGTCTATTCTTTCACTCTCATCTTCTGCAAAAGTATTGACAAAATAAATCTTAGTTCTTTTTGTCTGCTTTGATATAGGTGATTTGCTTCTGATATGATATTATGATTATTGTTACTAAGATGATCATTACGGTCCTTTTCAACCCAGGCCATTCTATGATTCTATAATATGATTCTATGATATAAGCAGTTACTTCACACTGATGAGGGATGCTCGGTGGAAATCTATGTATTGAACACAGTATGTGTGAGAAGATATTCTTCTTATTACAGCAGCATCTAGAGGCTTCACCTGAAATCATACTTTCTGTGCCGGTCATTGTGAAAGCACATTGAAAGAAAGCAGCTGTCCTGATATCTCCTCATTTCCAAAAAGAAAAAAACACAATACAACTTAAAAAAGCAACTAGGCAAAAGATAAATATAAGGCTATTACTCTTCTACATGTTGGATTAACAAAGCATGTCATACAGGTCATCTAGATCTGTGAGTGCTAATGTAGTGCTTTACCTGTAATCAGGACTATCTCAGACAGCTGTGATGGTTACCTTCTGGGAGTCTAGAAGAGCTCAAAGTAAACTAAATACATTTTGATATTGGACATAAAGAGAAGTTCTAGGAGACAAGGCTCCCTTGTTTATTAAGAAGTGCAGTTTTCTGAGAAGCACATCTCATAGTTGTTCAGGGAGACAGTGTTAAAGGTACAGGTGTAGTATTTCAAGCAGTTTTTTGTCTGGCTTAATGTTTCCTAAATGCAAAGGCTTGTAAGGTTGCTGTTCCATACAGGACAATTCTGTGAATTTATCATTTGAGGGAGACCAACAGAAGCAACTATGTTTAAGGAATGTGCCGTCACAGAAAAAACCTAGCTTAACCCCATTTTAGTATTTGAGTAAAAACTTTGTTACAATACCAAATGAGACTGGATATCTGTACAGTCACTGACTTTATGGTGACTATCAATCTGAGAAATACAGTAACATAGAAATAAGGCTTTTTTCTCTAATCTCTATCAGAGTAATCCATAAAAATCTTTTGTTTAATGCATTTGAAAATGGATGTGAAGATTAAGGACAAATTAATTTGAAAACTTTTTAGGGAAGGAAACTAAAATATACCTTTAACTAGTGAGGTGCTGTGTAATTTGTTAGCTGTCCTGTAGCTGTAAGAGTAGTGTAACTGAGTATCACAGCAGTGCATTTGTGCACATCCACAAATTTCCTTGTTGGACTATCTACAAACAGAGGCAAAATGAAAATAGGTCAAGATAGCATAGAAATGAAATGCTAAATGGATCATGCCCTACATGAACTGAAAGTGTGAGCTTTTGCCGAGCTGTCATTATTTCTCAAGTTTATAGATGAAGGAGTACAAATATGCAGTTGTAGGTTCAACTCGCTAAAACCTCATTTCTACAGTTGAAAACAAATTTTTCTTGGCATGAAAGAAAGTTACAGATACTGAGATTTTTGCACTGTACAGTTTCCTGATGTCTTCATATGAACAGCCAAGATGTTTTTGGTGATCGTGTATAAGTATTTTATTTATTTTAATGAAATTTAAAATGTTGATGAAATTTAATGATTAATGAAAGAGATTACTTATCAAAATTTTCATTTACTAATCTCGCAGAAAAACACAAACTTGGTAATCTTTCATATGGTCATATATGGACAGAATCACTGTTCAATCAGATGCAAATTAATTTCAGAAGAAGACATGTGTTACCTGGATTTGGTTTTCCGGTTTTATATTGCTTGGAATTGAAAAATCTAAAATAATAAACATTATCCATCATTAAAAAGTTATGCTCATGTCTGAACATTCGTAGAGATTAAGCAGTAGTACTGAATACAGCTATGTCAAGTCCTCATCTATTATCACATGTACTCAGCTGGGCTATACCAATTTTATTGGCAAGGGCTGGGTTGAAAGTCCTCAAATTCATATCACTAAAAAAATTCCCTACTCTGGTGCTATACTGATTTTTTATTTATTTATTTATTTATTTTTCATTTGCTTGCTCCTTGTACGATTTTACTTGGATAGTTCATCATTAGTGAGTATCTAGCAAATTAGAAAATTAATTGATAACTTCGTATACTTCCTGGGAAGCAGCTGCTTTCTACAATACTTAGGACTGTGGCAAATTTGCTGATCATTCACGTACAATATGGATTAAAAATAATCAAAACAAGACGAGCAATGAGTGAAAGAAGCCTCAAAATAGTTTATAGTTTTACCTAGTTAAACTAGAACCAAATATTCATTCAGTTCCACTCATATTTAGCACAAGTGTACTCTTATACATTCACAAAGTATGTTACAGGTAGACATAGGGAATTCTTTTAAGATCGGATTTAATGAGGTTTGGGATATACAAGGTATGATTAAAATCTGTGGAGCAATGATTTACTTCTAACAAGTCAGTGTAACAAGGAAGTGAAGTATATAGATCACAGACTGATAATGGTCTATTAGATCACTTCAAATGTTCTTCTAAAACTTAAAAGTTTTAATTTAGAAAAGACATTAACAAGCTTACTCTTGAATTATTGGTGCAAGTTGAGTGCCAAGATCTTCACAGTGAAACCATCTTTCAAAGAGCACATTAGTTGATGTTCCCACATAGTATCTGACAAAGTGAAAATATTAGTCAGTCTTTTATTAACTGACAGATTAGGTAGTTTGAGCTTTCAGGAAAACAGCTACTTAGTGTGCATTATTCTCATGACTGGTGTATTCTGTTTCAACACCTGGCTATTTAGGGAAGCTTTACACTTCCCTGATTAGCTGACTGATGGGGTACTTAAACTTGTGTTGAGAGCCTAGGAGTTCTGCTGATCAACCATAGATAACTCACCAAATTCTCTTCACAAACTTTCCAGACTTAAAAACTGGAAAACCTGACAGAATTAATCCCAGGAACATAATTGGTCCATAATACTTTAGGATCAATAGCTCTTGCTTTAGGTAAAGTTACTACAAAAACAACTGTTCCCAATAACTGTTTCTGTTAAGATATTAGATAAATATTCCTTTTAATAGTCCACTTGCTTATTGTCTCTGCATGGGGTGGTAACAATACAAGGTTGTTTACAGACTTGTTTGCTAATATTGATAAGGCTTACAATTGCATAAATTTGAGAGATATTTAGTTCACTCTCCTGAAAAGGAACTCTGTGTTTTACTTGCATTATTTTGTCTAAACAGTTAAATTGTGCTAAGATCAGTGGGACAAGATAGTTGTAGTCTATGGAATGGCACACACTGAATTTACCTACAAATTTTTTAAAAATATGATAAGGCAGGGATGTTTCAGTACAGTTACGTATTACAAGTGATTATAAGTAGATCTTGTGTCCTTCGGGTTAGTGACTGGAATTAATGTTTAAAGAGGTAAACAAGGCTTATAAGATTATATTCTGGTGTATTCATGTTAATCATGTCTGTCATATGACTATATGAGTATTGCCAGAAATTTTCCACAAGCTCCCTAGTTCAAGTTTTGCAAAAAGAAAGTTCTTGGAAGTGAGAAGCATCATTAATGCCTCCAGTGTGGAAAAAGCTGTGCTATGAGCGCAAATTTTGGACACCTGAAAATCTACAAAGAGAAATGTTACAAATGTCTTAGTCAAAGAAAGCCTATGAAGGGCTTTACAGCTTCTGAAGTAGTAAAGAATCCAATCCGACACCTAAAACTGACTTATTCACCACAAGATTAAGTTTTACTAATGCATTTTTTTTTTTTATTGTAAAACAAAGAATGTTAACATTAATTAGGCTGAAACTCTGGGACATGCTCTTTCACTTGAACAATAATCAGCATGCTGGGGGCTCTGATTTGTGACTGAAGCTTATAGGCATGGTAAATAATGTAATGGCAGCATCACATTAGTCCTTAAGTCAGCATGCTTCAAAGCAATCTTTTGCTGTTGATGAGTGGAAGTTTGACAAGAAGCTCTGGTTGTAAATCCCATTTCCTAGCAGTGCAAGCAGAGCCAATGTCACTTCAAAAATAAACATGACTTTTACTTCCTGAACTTCGGGCATTTTTTTTCATAATTTCAATGTAAAAACACTTCACTGATTTTTCAGGTACCTGATTAATATTTTCAATTAAGAGCATGCTTTAATTATTTTTCCACCTGCTAACCATATGCTTGCTTTTAATTAGTTTAAATTTTCCCCAAGAATATGACTGTATCACAGTGCAAATCCCTACTTCTATCTGCCTTGAAAAGCTATTTAACATCTATTCAACTTATTCTACCCCCAAATCTCATGTACAAGACGTTGTTTTATTTGAAGTTACATAAAGCTACTTAGGTCTTTTATTTTAAGTAAACATTGTTTTCCAGATCACTAGCTAGTTTTCAGCTCATACTATCTTTTTTAATAATGCCAATATTCAGAATTCAGGCCTGCTATGAAAATATATTTTTTTAAAAAGTGCATAGATAAATGATGTTTCAAGTTAGCTGTATTTGTTTTCAGCTTGGAATCCATTCCAGTGACTTTCTGAATGGTCCCTTTCTTAGTTTCCTTTCTCTTTATATTTTTGTTTGAATAAAAAGTATTTCTAGCTTGCATATTCATGGTCACCCTGCTATGATACAGCTCATGCACACTCCAAAACTGTAGGTGAAAAGACAGAAACAGTACATTACAGACCTTGGTGAAATTTTAAATCTTTTTGAATTACATGAGTAACTATAATCTCACTTTAGTCAGTGTGCATTTAATATAAAGCCATCTTTTCTGTCTGCCATGACTTGCCCTCCTAGCCTTATGAAGGCTATAAGATAGCAGAACAAGGCTTATTCCTGCTCCCACTAGAATACTAATTAAAACTCTTATTTATTTGAAGACATTGTTCTCATACAGCAATGAAATCTAGGCAGATGTATTTACCATATAGAGGTGCTAGCGTTAAGAAAACTGACTTTTGTTTCCAGCTACCCGCACGCTTGCCAGAAAAGTTCATCTTCATTTTTTTGCTTTCATTTTTTGCTTAAGAAGAAATTAATGTTCAACCTGCCAGAACTGATATAGAAATCTCTTCTGATCTGTACTGTTACAAAGCTGAGACTTTAAAACTTCAAATGATAGCAGTAAGTAATATATACTTTGATAGCTATAATTGTAGCATATATTGTAGGGACATCTCAATCTGTTCTTTGCTTGACTAAGTCAAATACTGAATGAGATCTCTATGTATGTGTGTATGGATAAATAAATTTGTGGACAAAAGTATAAAAATGCCAGGATAAATCTGTTATATTATCAAGGAACTGAAACATAGTATTGACAATTGTATTGACAAGATAAATTAATTGCGCGTTATGAATCTTAACAGATTTACCAACAATTATACTTCACCTGAGCCCATCCATTTCTGTCTTTTGTCTTTGCCTCTCAATTACAAGACCTACAGTGTCTGCATATCTTTGAGGAGAATGAGGTATTCGAGCAGGTAGGAGAAACATCTGTTCAGACAGAAGAAACAGGAAAGCATCAATGTTAGGAGGTCTCTGTTTCATCTGTAGTCCTTCTGCTGCAACCAACCTGTAAAGTCTTTTGTTCACTGCCATGCTTTCCTGCTACTCTGTGCTGATCTATGCTGTTCCTTGCAGCTGTATTTAATTCAGTATCAATAGCCTATAAGTTGCTGCTTCTTGCTTTCTCAGTGAATGATGACAATTGATTCAATAATCAGCACTGCCTCTATTGCAGCGTGGTGCTCTCCTTCCCAGTTTGATCATCATTGCTAGATACAATTAAAACAAAAATCTAACCAGTTATTCTATGTGGAATATTTAAAAAAAATGTATTTACTGCAATTTCTCAGTAGCAGAAATAGAAACAAAAAGCAAATTGGTTGTCAGCTCCAGATTTCTAAATTAATCATTCACAGGTGTCCCTGCAACATAGCAGACATGACTGCACAATGAGGAGTGTTATTCTCCAGAAACAATTAACAAATACGAGGGACTACTAATTCATGCAAGTGTCAGAAAAAGAATAGGTAACATTTGGCTGGGAGAAGCCTTTTACTGAAGTTTGAAAGCAAATCTCTTTCTAGCAGCTATGTGACTGTAAGAAGGCAGTAAGGCTGTGCTGTTCTTGAGTGCAAATCAGTTTCTGTCTGCAAGGCAGAGCTAACAGTAGTACTTCACAAGGGCTGGTGTCAGCCTTCCCACTAAGGTATCTTATTAATTCTTCTTCTGGTACATGCCAAGGTGGATGTACTTGCCAGTGCAGAGTCTATTACTGAGATCTCCTCATCTACAGTTTGAAAGCTTACATCTTGTTTTGTTGTTGAAAAGGTGGTAATATTTCTTTTTAGTGACATTAAGTTGTTGGGTCTGTTACACTTTTCCTTAAAGAGTGGTCCCACAAGATCTAATATTTAATCCCTTCAAAGCTGAATGCAGTTCAAGCTTTGGACAATAATGAGTAGCAGTAGTAAAACATCTTCAGCAGTAACATCAAGAAAAACACCTAGTCACAATCTCTTTAACAGTACTGAACTATGTGCTGTAACAAGGCAGCTACTATATACAGAAACATCTGAATACAGTTGGATATGATTTATTTATAAACAGATTTTAAAACTGTTCTGATGTTATGATGGTTGTGAAAACTAGTGATTAGAGATTAACTGTTACTGAAATCGTGAGATGTTACATGGAGCATTATAGTTTGTTAATTATATGGAATTTGCATATGGCATCCAAGCTTTTATTACTTTTTTTTATTAGCCCGATGTCACATGGCAGTGATAAATTGGTCTTGAAATACTTCATAAAATATTAACATACCTATGTAAAACAACAAGAGAAAAACAATCATGTTTTACCTCCCCTTCTCTGATGACAATGTCTTTATGCTTCTTATTTTCGATTATCTTCAAGCACATGTCTCCTTTCACTTGGTAAAAAAGCTGAATGAATAGGAAAACATTAGGTCAGGTGTTCCAAAGAATTCTGTATTTCATCTTCTGTATAGAAAGGATATATGTACAAATACATTCGGTCTGTTTGCAAATAGATTCTAACTTCCAACCTTAACTGTTTTTTAAAATTTTATGAAATATAATATATTATTTCATTATGTGCACATATACATATGATGGTCTGTAATCGCTTGAAGAGCTCTACCGTGAATGCAGTGAAACCCCATTCCACTGTATCTGTTTCTGGCAATTACACTCTGTAGGACTGGGACTTTATGGTTGAGATACCTGTTAATTCAGCTGGATATAAAGCTTCATTTCTGCTGTTTTTCATTACAGATGCATCAAGGTCTTCACTGTTAAATTCAGTCTAATTAAATACTACTTTTTCCAAATATGCTCCTAGTATGCATGCCCATTTGCCTGAGGTGTGTGGTGTTTATTATTTTTTTCCCAGAGCTTTCTCATGTGGGAATAATTGCCCATATAGAAGCTGTTTGGCTTTATTTCTGTGGATACTTTGAAGCCCTACAACAGCTGCTCCTCTATGTGCTCCTCTGCCTACTGTGTATGTAAAAGGATTATGTTCTAAGCTTACGTAAGGACAGGACCACTGAACTTGTAATTCTGTCTTCAGTGACCTTTCCATAGTTCTGTTTTCAGAGTAGCTTTCCTGGGGCTCTGAGGTGCCTAGATCTGGCCTCAAGTTTCATGGCAGAATTATGCTAAATCTGAAAGCGGGTCTGTCATTTACCAGGAATGGTTCCCTCACTCACCCAAAAATGAGTGCATTTTTATTAATCTTGCATAATAATGGACAACAATAATCCAAACAATCAACTTTTCTTGTTTAGACATGCTTCTACATACTTCTCATATTCTTTGTGCCATAGCTAGAAACCAAACAGACCAATTCATGCAGTTGTTGAAATTCAGGTTGAAATTGCCTGAAATCTGACTCAAAGTTAGAACTACAATGAAACTTTTGATTTCTAGTCACTAACTAAAATTTTAGCAAAATGGAAATAAAAAGCTGATGAAAAACAAAGACAAAAGAAATCATCCAAGCATAACAAAAACCATCAACCAAGCCTTTTCCACCATTAGAAAAGATTAATCAAGTTTTTAAATCAGGTTTATTTGCTGAAAGTTTTGAGATATTGATTGATGTATTTGTCTGAGGAACACCTTTATAAATCTAAGAATAAGCACACTGGCAAAGGAATGAAACAGCAGAGAGAACTGAATATACAGAATATACGCTGGAAAAAAGCTCATGCAGAGAGCTTTTATATGAGCTCACCTTGTACCAGACAGATAACCATGGCTAAATTATAACTCTCGTCTAGGTGGCCACAATATCTGGCTACTTATCCTCCTTGTACTCTATTTCGCTATGTTCTCCTCATATCATTCTCTTGTGTGCTACTGAATGACTGTATAAATGTGACGGTAGCACTTATTACTGAGGATGTCAGTCAAGGCTAGAACTGCTCACTGTAGAACACAAACCTCTCCTTTTTTGTAAAGACTCACCTTATCTAAAACATAAGATCCTGATGGGTTATTGCACAGGCCCTTGTTAGTATGCCACTGGCAATACAGAAATTAAAAGATCCCTTTTGAAATGGTGAAATTTGGAGTGGTATCTTCCCTATGGCTACAGAAGGAGCTACTCCTGGATGCTTTGAAGGAAACGCTGATGAGGGGAAGAACAGAAGGAGAATTTTGTTGCTTGTGATGGATAAGTATCTTTCTCGTAATGGAAACGGAAGAGGAAAGGGACCATTCAGCTCAATAGTAGAGCATTGCCATCAATAGGAAAGATTCTTAATACAACACTAAATTTCAATTTAAAGAATTGTTTTGTGGTGGAAAAGGAGGAGCGAGATGAGCTATGCGTTGTTAATAGAAGTGTTTTTCTGTCTGAATTTAATACTACCTTTCATTATAAATTATAGTCTACTCTTCAAACTTTTTGGGGGAAAATGTCAGAATGATTTAGTCATCCATAAATTATCTGATGTCACTCTGCAAGGTAGTGATTACCGAACCTACTGATGCACTTATATTATACCTGAACTTTATTGAGGAAATTGTCAGCTTGTTCAACAACTCAGTGAGTTACAGCCCATGCCTATTTCACAGGACAGTTTGCCAATACAATATCACTTTGCTATTTTGCTGGAACTTTAATCTTTCCTCAGTGCTTACTAAGCTTTGCATTTCAACCTCTTCTGATGCGCCTCTCCCAACCCCTCTTCTCTTCCCTCCCCCTTCTCCCCCACAAAAAAATCCACACCTAAGTAAGGAAGTGCTGGTGGGTGGGTGTGATCGTACTTCATACTGGATAGTGTTGTGTTAAACTTCAGTGGAAGGCAGCTGAATCAGTGCCAAGTCTGTAAAAAGCTATTCCACCCCAAATATGCAGTCTCTGGCTGGCATTTCTGGCAGAAATTAGGTGGAGATATGGAGAGAGAGGATGTTTACTTCAGTGAGAGAGTAACCATAGCTACTTGTCTTAGTAGGAATTCATTTCACTAGGGGAGCAGAAAGTATAAATATTACCTTTAGAACAGCAGTATCATTCCTGCCATATGAAAGTGGTAGGACTATTGTCTTTTCATCCAGATGCATGCTTCTTAACAGAGTAATAAAGAAAGTCATAAGGGAAGAACACACTATTTCTAACTGGTTTGCATAGACCAGCTAGAAGTCTATTTCATGTAAAGCTGTGCAATGACAGTGAGTGTATGGCTTGCTAATTTATATCCAATGTTGACATCAAGCTCTGCCTAGATATAGTAGCTCACAGTTTTGTGAATGCTTCTATGGCTGAGCACTTATAAATAAGCATCTGTAGACAACTGCAATTTGCAATGTAATTTGTGTACTGCTTCTGAAAGTGAAATTTGGGATTGCTCAGCCACTTCTGGGATTAGACTCTGACTAGGCACATACTGGCTTGTGTTGCATGTTTGATTGTTAAATACTGAATTAATTTGAGGAGCAAAGCAAATTCTGATGTGGGAGTAGAGTCTCTGTGTTCTCCAGAATTCAGTAGTGACTGATCCATGTGAGCAGAGAAAAACAACTTTTCTCCCTTATTCATTACAAGTAAGGTAATCAGCCATCAGAAGTTAGGGAGGTAAACAGATGAAACAGGCAAAGAAAACTATGTTGTTTTGTTTTCTCATGTACACATCACCTGTGAAACATGAATACTAGCCAAGTCTCATCCCAACAACTGTCTGCAGCAAACATTTCTAATTTGTGATCTTTCTGATGCGAAAAGATCATTATTGTCACTGCTTTGTAATAATAGAAGCTTTGTTTCTTATTACAATATTCAAAGAGTTTTCACCAGGTAAAATGTGTTTTTTAAAATACTAGTAGCAAAAAAGGTTTATCTTGCTTTGATTCATTTTCTCAATTTTACTAGAGAGAAAAGCACTACATCTATGGTATGGGGGTCCAACCTTTTGTCTTGCTTGGGCCTCACTGAGTAAACAGGAACTGTCTTGGATTCCATATACATGAGTTGCTCCAAAAATAATTTCTGTAATTTCCATGGAAACTACACCAAAGAGCACAGTAACACTACTTGATAGAGCAAATTCTCAGCTACGAAACATTATTTTCAATACAATCACCACCATTATATGAGCTTTTTCAGCAGTGGTGAATAAGAGCCTGCATGCTGGAATTTAAAAAAATAATAATAATAATAAAAAAAAATCTGCACCAGTAAAGGTGACCCACTGCTGCTACTGCTTAAATGTATTCCCCACTAGCTCCCTGTGCTAATGTCTGCTTCTTGGTCTCCATAAACATTCAGCATTGATAAATGTTAGCAGGTGCCATTTTTTCTCCTTGGAGGAATTCAGTGATGCACCTTTGCTCCATACACGCTTCCATGTCAGACACAGTTTTGTCAGACTGCCCCTCTGCTGCCACCTATCACACAGAACAACATGCAACAGGATATTAGTGGGAAAATTCAGCGTCTCCTACCACACTACCAACATCTGCCTCTGAGGTTGTGGCAAACATAATAAAAAAGGAGGCACTACTTTTGGAGCAGCCATTGTAAAATATACAATACTGTTAGTATTTAAATAATAAAATACTTTGACTTTTAATATTTTTCCTAAAGCATTAAAGAGAGAGGAACCAAAACAAAACTGGGAGGGATAGGTGACCCTGTTTTTGTGAAACTAATGCATCAGTCTGGTTTGATGGCAGTGACTGCAATTCTTAGTGAGCTCTCAAGGCAATCATCAGACTTCTGATTAAGTTTTACTCTCCCTATACTTTATCTTTGACAATTACTCACAAATGTGTGTACTGCCAAAAAGCAATGATGTGAATAAGCTGTGATTGGAAAGTGAAGACTATTTCTCTCTGGTAAGAGAGGTTGAAAGGGAAAGCACGGCTGCCTATTCTTTGCTGTTTAGAGCACTGTATATAGCCAATGTATCAAAACACATACCAGCTGTATTTGCTATCTCTTCAGTCAATGCTGCCCTGCCCAAGCTCTGGTTTTAATTGACATGGTATTAATAGCACACTGATGGTTTGGCCATTACTGAGTGGTGGGTGTGTGTATGGGGCCACTCCATGGGGAAGAATCAATGTCTTTATAGCGTGGGGCTGCAGGCTGGATGTGGCTGACCAACTGGAATGACTGCCAGAGACCCTCCCCATTGACATCCATTATCCCCATAAAATCTAGAGGTAAATTGAAATTGCTAGGGGAGAGTTTCTCAAAAGCATGCTACCTAGCATAAACTAGAAGAAGGGGACAGCTTTCACTTGAACAGATTTGTCAGAAATTGGAGACATGTCCTATTTGTGGTATGTATGTGAGGGGGAGAAAAAGAGAAAACAAAGTTCAGGTTGAGAAATGCAGATGAGCTCTGATAGACACATCCATGTTGTATTTCAGACACAAATGCATCTCAAGCAGAAAGGGAAAATACGCTAGAAGAAGCTGAAGGGACTGGCCCAGGTAATTAGATGAGAGGGGAGATTTCCATACTGAGACTCCTTTTCAGGAGAGTGATACCAAGGCTCTGATCTTTGGGGCTGAATCAGTATGTAGCTGGTTGCATCTATAGGAAACAATCTGGCTTCTAAGAACAAAAACTTTAGGTGGAATACAGCACAATGAGAAGCAGGGCTTTTAAAATCTAGTGCAACACTGTGCCAATACAAATGTGTTGCAGGTGGCAGATGAAAGGCTGATTTGAATTTCTCTGCATGGAAACACACAGTTATCTCTAGACTCAACATCAGGTGTGAAGAGAATATGGATTGTAGCAAAATCAAAAGCAGTTCTTTGAGATTCATTTTGTGTAAGTGGTGGACTAGAGTAGGCAAAGAGGAGCCTAACTAATTTTGGGATCCCACATTTAGAATATCTCACCTTCCCCCAAAGCAACCTACTCAATGCAATAAATAAAATCTGAAAATGATTTTACTACAGTTAAGTTTTGTTATGATCATGGCTTTTTATGTGTCATTAACTTCCTCTGAAACTAATAGTTCCCTTCAGCTTTCACTTACCTTCTTTCTGGGAAGCTGTAAGATGAATGAAATAAAATTAAGCTCTTCCCCTACTCAGGCTTCTTAAGTAAGCAAAAATGTAGTAAATACACCATGAATTCTGTGAGCTGTGTAAACACCTTAACTCTTTGTGCCACAAATACATGATGTTAGGGCTGCCGTACAAACTTTCAGTACTTCATACAGGATTCATGCAAAAACTTGCTATATAAAACAAACGCTTTCTTTTTAGTACAAAATAAGGAAACTCTTCCTGCATTGCTATCTAGGTGCTTTCTCACAGGATTTTGTCATGCTTTAAGAAAAGACGCATTTTCCAAAGCAATTCAGTTTTGCTTGAAGTCTGTTTGAATAACAAATTTTTTTGTTATCCCTGTCCTGATGGAGAAGGCTGCAAGATGGAGCTTAAAATTTGTATGGAAAAAAAAAAAAAAAAAGAATATGACAGTCAAAAATTCAAGCCAAAAAATGTCAATGGTTTATCTCTTATAAGGTGCAGCTTAATTTTGCTATTTATAAAATCTGTCCAATAGATAACAACATCCTGTGTAGGAGACAGTGTTTCTGTGCAGACAGATTGCAGCTCAGTAGTGCACAGAAAATTAGGAATGAACAAATTGTAAAGCTACACATGTAGGAACTGCTGCTTGCTGAGAATAGGAAAAAATTGTGCTAGACCAGCCACTGTTTTAGTCTGCTTGATTAGAGACTCCAAATGAAGTGACCAGACTCTCAGTTAGCCATCAGAACAGATTTTTCTGATATACCTGCATGCCAAAGGTGCCAGCAGACAACAGCTCGGGAGGAGGATTCTCCCAAGCAGTCATCTCTGCGTATCAACGGCTTCCTGCTGTGAACTGCAGGCTGACTAGCATGCCTGCCATGAGGTACAAGCTGTGTGTGGTGACAGACATAAAATCATGTCTAAACAGATATAAACAATTCTAAATTAACTCTTCTTTCCAAACCAAACCTTTTTGCCACCAAGATAATGGTAAAAAAGGGCCAGGTATATTTGCCAATATGGGGTTTTTGCATTCATGATTTGGCCTGTAAACAGTATGTCTCTATTTTGGGTGTCGAATTATCACTTGGTAATATAAATAACATTTTCTCTGCCAAAATAATTGTTGAACGCTGTTTTGAATCTTTTTTCTATTTCTTTTCTTCTTTTTTTTTTTTTTTTTTTAATCCCAAGTATAATTCAGGAATACATTCTTATACTAGGAAGATCTATTTCTTTTCAGTGAAAAACCTAGGCTTAAAGGAATAATTTGATCACAGGAAGTTGCAAATGTCTGATAAAAAAGCTCATGTAAAATGCAACATCTGACTGTATTGCATCCGTATAAAAGCTATGGCCCAATTTATTCTGATACTATGAATTCTCCTATGGTATGGAGTACAAATTGGATCCATGATGGTGCTTTTATGCTTCCATTTTTAATCACTAAGTAATTGTAGGAGAATTGCTATATAAAAGAAAATGTTAGGTATCAATACACTTGCAATGACTGAATTAGTAATAATTTACATACTGCAATAATTTACAGACATACTGATGTAAACTATATCTCTAAGGGTGTAGCTAAATTTTATACTGCTAAAAAGTCATGGAATAGATTTAGGCTTACTAAGGGCAGGCCAAATTCCTCTCCAGCACATCTAGCAAAGAAGAAAATCTGATGTAAATAACATTCGATAATCAGTGTGGGTCCCTTTCAACTCAAGACATTCTATGATATTCATCTGAGTTTTGGTTTAAGGAAAGGGGAGGTAAGACATTTTAAAAATGAAACCAGATAGGAATTGATCAGGGACAAAGGATAAAGCAGTATAAACTGAAAGATGCAGGGAGGGATGAGACCATACAGAAGAGGAAAACATATAATTATTGTCTTTATACCCCTTCTATGGAAGATAGCCTTGCCCCTGGCAGGGAAGGTGGAACTAGATTATTTTTAAGGTCCCTTTCAAACCACTCTGTGGATCTGTGATATTTAGTACTGTAGATCGTACTGTTATTCCAGATAAACCTAATCTTTTTGTTTTCAGTCTGTAGCTCTCACATTTTTTTTTCAAAGCTGGAAAATAAAGTAGTTGTACAGAACCTGAAAGGCTAAGTTAAGGACAAAAACATATTTGGACTCATTCACTTCTGTGCCTAACTTGGTTTCATGCTTTGCTAAACCTTCATGTTACTGACCTTTAGAAAATCCACTCTCTCTTCGTAATCTAACTTGTCAACACTTACCCTCCTGTTATGGCATACTGTTATAGATGAAATATTCTTTTCAGTGCTTTCTGAGCAGTCAGACTACAGAATGTGGTACACGACCATGTTGGCAAAAACCAGTTTTATTTTCTTCAGATAAGTATCTCTGGAATTTTCTTGTTAAATTCATGATACATGAGAAATTTTTCTGGCTAGCAACAATCACTTGGTACCACGCTGCCCCGCTTCTCACCCCCAAACAAGTTGCTGGTGTGACACCAGGTGTGGTCAGGGTTGCCCCTGTGCAGCTGATGAGAATGGAGCCAGCAAGCAGAGTCAGGCAGGGCTGTGCCCACAGCTGAGTGTGGGTGGTGGGACTACTATGGTTGTGCAAAGCAGGCAGGTGTCAGACACCGACAAGATGGCAATTATCTTTCAGAATAGTAGTTGTAATGACTACAGACAACTAACTATGCAGCACAGCTCTAACAGAAAATGAACTAAGGTTTCTGTGAAATAATTGAATTGTTCTTGTGATAAATGATTTGGTGGTAAGTAAAGACAACTTTTTGTTTCTTTTTAAAAGTAATTCTTGAACTTAACATACTTCTCCTTAGAAGTGTATATAGATTCCTCGGCTCAATTTTCCAAAAGTGCTTAAAATAAGATGGCCAAAATTTATTGGAATTGCATGAAATTAAAGTCCAGTACTGGGAAAATATGCAAATAGTCTAACATTCTAAAATCCTCATTGCCATGTCTCTACTGTCCCCTTTCCATTAAGACTGTAGAGATACATCTGTTACTTCTATACTAGTGCAAACAGATAAGACTGTAGGCCTAGTGAAGAATTTAATTGTAAGGGCAGTAAATAAAGCCGATTGTAACAATTTTCTTTGGTTTCTACTCTTTCTTCCTATATTCCGCATTTGGCCCAATGACTGCTCATAACTCAAAGAGGTAGGATGACTTTCTTTCGTTATAGAAGATATGCAGAAAAAACGATGGATTTGATTCTTAAAGAATCTCTGTTATATACATTCCCACAAAGGTCAAGTCCACCCAAAATTCAAACCCTATGTCTGAGTGCTGTCCAAATGCTTCTTAAACTCTGGCAGGTGCTTCTTAAACTCTGCTGTGACCACTGCCTGGGGAACCCATTCATTTTGAAGTGTAAGAACACTTTATCTAGTTTCCCTTTAGAAGTTAACTACAGCAGAATAGATTTGATTTCATTGTATTTGTTTAAAAGGAAGTGCACAGACTGTGCTGTTCTGGTGCATAATTCTGTTTAATTATTTGAATAAATCCAATAAATACTACACCACTGAGATTGGTATTGTTTATTTGTAGCTTCAAAATTAGCAATGTTCTAACCATACAGATCAATTAAAACAACAAAATATAAGTGAGTCATTCGTTACCTCTTCTCCTTCTTCAATATGATAATCCTTTCTTTCGTTAGGCCCTCCAACAAACATCACATTCATTTGATATCGATGCCTAGAAAAGAAAAGTGACTTTTTAAAGCTACCTCTACACATAGCGTTCTTTCTATCTAAATTTTGTGGAGGTTTTTTTTGTTTTGTTTTGTTTTTTAATGTTTTGAGGACAGTATATTGGTGAAACAAGAGCGAGGAGCAACATCCAAAATTAAAAAGAGACCTAGAGCATCTTCCTGCTCTGCCACTGTCCACCTATTTCTCTTTTGGTATTTCAGTGCCTTCATCTATGAAAAGGGGACAAAGGTACTTATCACCAGTGGAAAGAGCTTTGAATTGTAAAGACAGAAAATGGTATGCAAGAGGCACAAAACAGGAAAACTGTCTTTTAAATGGGATCAGCCTGGAAAAGAGAAGGCTCTGAGGTAACCTAATAGTGGCCTTTCAGTATCTACAGGGGATTTACAGGAAGGAAGGGGACAGACTTTCTAACAGGATCTGTGATGATGGAACAAAGGGAAATGTTTTCAAGCTTGGAGGGTAGACATAGGGAAAAAAATACAGTGAGAGTGGTGAGGCACTGAAACAAGTTGCCTGGTGATGCCCCGACCCTGGAGACTTTCAAGGTGAGGCTGGATCACGGCCTGATTAACCTGATTTAGCTGTGAATGTTCCTGTTCATTGCAGGGGAGTTGGGCTAGGTGGCCTTCAGAATTCCCTTCCAACTCTAAGGATTTTATGATTCTATAAACTATCAGCTTCTTTCTCTTCTTTTTATATTGCCTTTGCTGAAGTGAAACTGCACTGCAATGGTTTCTTTATGGCTGTGGATGATTAAAAAAAAAAAAAAAAATTCAGGAAAATTTATCTTAATTCTGTTTTTGAGAGTGCCAGGGAGCATTTCTCTCAGTTTTCACAAAGAATAGGCATCACCCCAATTATCTGTCAGTCAGTCTATATTAAGAAAGAGATAATGTAAGTTTTCCGTTTTCTTTGTGTAGCAAAGCCTCCTATAGTCCAGAATTGATTCAAAATTTGTCCTAAAGAACCTCTTTGATGTGTTAGCCGAAGGATGCTGACATCTATGTTAATAAAAAGATTTTGGGTAGTATAGAGATCATAATAATGGACATCATAATAATACAGAACCAGCAGGTCAGTGGTCCACTGCAACACAGGGAAGAAATATTTGTCTCTTTGTCAGCACTTCATAAGCCTTCATTGAGAGAAGCCAAGCAACTATGAACATCTGAATGTATATATTTGGTCTGTTACCACTGTCATGTTTACTTTGCTTTCTTAAATGCTTTACTTAAATGATAAACAACGCCACAGTAACCATTTGTAAAAGAAAAATCATAAGTAATAGGTACAAACATCTCCTTGATCAAATTCAAGTACGAAGAATTAAATTAGATTTCAATACTTAAATTGACTGTTAACATCATGGGAAGCATGTTACAGCACCTGGCTTAAATGCCAATAACCTAAAATAAGGAAACAATCAAATCTATTTGTATTAGACGTGTTTAGTATTTGTGCTCAAGGACTCACCAAAATACTTCTGCATTAATGAATCTTTCTACTGAAGAAGGGTAGGAAGACCAAAACAACAAAAACACAGTGAACAGTTCATTAAATATATTCAGAGCAATGCTGGACAATAAGGGAGAGGCTATTTGAGTATCTTATAGCCTATTTTTAAGGTGAGTAAATTTTGAGAAACCTCCCAAAATAAATTTTTTGAGCCGCAAATTTAAACCAAAATTTAAAAATTTTAAAAATTTAAATCACTACTTTTATTGAGTCATTACAAGGGAAAACATTGATTTCAAAATTATTCTTTAACTTTTAGTTACTTTTCAGCAAACCTGATGTTGGTTCTGTTACTCTATGGATTTAGCTGTTTTTTACATAATAAGCAGGCATTCATGAGTTAATTCTTCCTACTACTAACAGTTAAATAATAGCTCCATCAAAAAATTCTCACCATCAAATACAAGTAGGAACTCCAAGAGGTTTGTTTGTTCACACTGCTAAACAAAGTTGTCCAGTTGATATAATTGTATAGAGTTAGGAAGAAAAAGCCATAAGAAATAAGAGGTTCAGTTAAGACCATCTGGGATGCAGTTAATGCAGTTTCAAAGTCAAAGATTTCAGGCATGTGGAAATTACTTGATTGCATTATTTTTAGATTTCGAATGAGATGATAATCAATGACCTATTAAGTTTTACATACCCTTATTTCTCTTCCTAATCACATAAAGAAAATGTAACCAGCAGGCAACCTTTTGGAAATGTCTCAAGACTGTGAAGAATGAGATATTTTGTAACTACAGTGTGGTCTCTTTACTGTAAGTACCATACTCTGAACTCAAAGAGCTTTAGAAGTGCCTTAGTGACCCTGCAGAAATAGCTGTCTCAGGTTCTGATTTGGCACAAATTGTTCTTTGAGGTTAGCAGTAGTTAAGCTTGCAAGGCAGTGTAATTAAAATATATATCATTAAATTGCAGCTCTGACATTGTGTTGTTTTCTTGACTCTGGTAAAACTCTTAAGTAGATGGTGATTCAGGAAATGAGGTTTTGTTTCGAAATCCCGAATAGGTATTTAAAATGTTGATTTTCTTAATTGAGTGGAACATAAAAGAATAAATGTTTGAAGGCCATAGCAAATGTAGAAACAAAAAGTCCAACTGATGTGCTGTAAGACTTAGACTTTAACCATTAAATATCTTTGAAATTTAAGTTCATAAGTTACTTAAATTTTTTAATATGTAGGCCACCTTGTGTTGTACAGGCCATGAGAAGATTTCTTCATACAACCATACTCAGCACACAAATGATCAAGTCTTTGAAAATAATCTTGGAAATCTATTAGTTAAATCTTGGAAAACTGCCTAAAGCTTTTTGGAAAATCCTTAAAGCACCAGAAGCGGGTGATGAGACTCAGAATCTATATAATACAAGGCTTGTCTCTCCTCTTCCACAGACTGAAGTTTCAATTGGGGGAAAAAGGGAAAAAAAAAAAAAGAAAAAAGAAAAAAAAAAAGATTTATTTAATCTATGCAAGTTTTATTGTGAAAAATATCCTTTGTTTCAGTGTGACTTTTTGCAGTATTTATGGAGGAGACTCATCAACACTAACAGTTTAGGAACTCATGTAACTTTCTAATCTCTGATGGACCTCGTGCTTCACAGTTACTTCGTGATTACACAGAGATGCTGGTAGATTGTGCAGAATAGTTCAGTAAACAAGAAGGTTCAACTTACTGTTAAGAAAGAAAAACATCAGTGTTTCACATAAAATTTTACTGACATCATTGGTAAGCTTTAGAATTGACTGTGCTTTACAAAATGCTTCCTAAATCTGTTCTGAATGTGAAAGAAATGAGATCATAAAAAGAAGGCATTTTCTTCTCTCACTCACTGTGAAACTGTTGTGGTGATTTGTTTCGTAATTTCTCAGTCAGAACATAGAACTTCAGTTTCAATAGCAACATGTCATTAAGGATGTGCATTTTACCTTTCTTATGCTTTGCAACCATAAATTTGAAAAGCAAATGTAACTGTGAACAGAAATTTATGTCATTGCTACGGTGCTGCTCATTCAGCTTTTGATTAGAGGTAGCCTTTCAGGATAGGGCAATACATAAATTCTTTGCTTTTTTAATAATTAAAATCGAAAAGTAAGGAGAAAAAACAAGTTTTCTTGCTTGCAGGTTTTCTATCACTTCTTATAGATTATTCGCTCATGAAAATCTTACACACAGGTAGTTTTAGACTAAATACAGTGTCCTTGAATTCAGTGACAAAGGAAATCCCTGCGAATTTTACAACCAGATGTTGTCATGAATTTGACCATTTACACTGAAATTTGTTCAAGGGCTTTGATACTGAATATATGCATGCTGTAAGCCTTTATAATGCCCAAGGTGTTTTTCCTCTGTTAGCTGGACAATTATTGAGTATACAGTTCACAGTTCTAAGATGCTAGTTAGTCCCCTCAAACATAGCCTGTTCAGCCTCATGCAGAACAGAGGGTCCTTCCCTGCCTTGTCAGCTCTGGAAATGCCATGGACATTGGAAATTCCTGCATTCCTCCTCTGCTTTTCTCCTTGTCTTCACATGATGTATCCCATCAGTTCTGATTGCTCTTGCATATGTAGTATCTCTACAGCATCAGAATGTCCCCCAGCAGCTCTGATAGCTGCTGCAGGTTGTAAGACAGTACAGCACAAATCTCTTGTCTAGGTCTTACCATTTATGGATGGGATGCCTCAGAAATCTCCTCAGATTTCTATGAGTTTATTGTCAGAGGGCCTGATGCAAAGTCCCTTAGCGGCCTAACTGCCTTACAAGCTGAAGTCAGGCAAGCATGCTCAAACTGATCTTCTGTATAATCACAATGCAAGTTACTTCCTATTCTTCAAAGCTGCAGTATGTGTGACTGCTGTCTTCTGAGAGGAACTACATTTTCTTGCATTTTAATAATTTCCTCTTTTAGCTAAGAATATTTATATATTTAAGAACAACATAAAATACCCCTTCATTTACTTACATAAGCTTGTTGCACACAGGTGGTAAAAAGGCTGCCCTGTTTTCTTCTATCCATTGTCTGACATTCACAAGAAGCTCCATGGTCCACCAGCTACTACGAAGCTTTTGAGGAAGATGTTTGAGTTTGCACTGTGCTCTTTCCGTAAGCAAACCACAGGCAACTCGGTCCCCAGAGCTCAGGATTGGTTGGTAGAGGAGGTGTCTTCAGGCTCAAGTGTCAAAGGGGACAGGTTCATCAGCCAAAGGTTACTTTTGAAAGAGTGCTAATGCTCAAGCAGCTTAGCTAATAATTGACAAGTGTTTTTTAAAAATGTATTTTCTTCTGAGGCTCATTCTACCCAAAGGAGGTAGCTTCATTCTCTCAGCTGCATCAAATGTTACCTCTATACAGAAATTGTCTCATTACATTGAGTTATGAAAACTTGGGCATGTCTAATATAGAAACAGCAAGTTTCAAAGCTAAATGTGCTTTGAAATTCAAAGCAGTGCTCGAAGTTCAGTTACATGTGTAGAGTAAATACAAAATGTATTTTTGCACATAACTATGTATCTCTGTGTTTCAGGCTTAATAACAGCCCTATTTCCTTTTTCTACCTCCCTCAAGCTTCTTAGGCCAAATGATTGGGTATGTGACTGAAAATATTGGGAACCACGTCTGCAAGACAACAAAAATAAATGTCTCTTGCGTTTTTAACACTAAAAGCAGCTGCTCACAAATGTTCATTTTAATTAGTCCCACTCATTTCCAGTACTGTGGCAGGGCTCGTTGGAGAGCTGACTGTGGTTCTGTGATGCCCTTAAGCAAAACATAGCATGCTATCATCAAATTAGCAGGCAAATAAGAAATGGATAATTATCAGGCATTCCTGGTCTGTATTAGTCTTTATTCCCCCATTAATTTATTTTCTGCATCTATGAAGTTCTTATTGGATTGCTCACTGCTTTCAGATCACCTCATTACTCCATTTTAACAACACTCTTTTCAGGTTTTGAATATATGAAATGGGTGATTGTAAAAAAAAAAAACAAAACAAACAAAAAACAGATAATGACAAAATGTCACAGCTTTTTATTTGCTCTTACTGCAGCTTAGTCTTGTGACAATATTTGTACTGTGCTCAGTGGGTCAGTGTGCATGGGAGTAAAAGTATAGTATGATTTACTTAAAAGTGGGCTATATATCCTTGATGATGTGTGCCTATAGGCTGCACAACTTCTGGATTGAAGAATCAAGATACTGGAACAGTACACACTGGGATATTCTTCAGCTTATAACAATGTAACTTTCCTACGGGGGGGGGGGGGGGGAGGGGGGGGGAAGGCAACAGAGTATGTGTTGAAACTAATTCTATAACTCTTGCTTTAGTAAGTATGAGAGTGACTCTGCTTTACTTTCATCTCTACTACTTCTTTGCAATTTAGTTTAAATTATTTATGTAATTGATCCAAGAAAATTCCACTTATTTTAGGAAAAAAAGATTCACATGGCTTATAGCTCTGTTACATTATTATAGTCAGTATGGTATTGGCAATACTTTCCCCTGAAATAAGCACAAAGTACTTACTATTTCACTCTGTTATTGAAAAAAAAACAAAAAAACCCAACATGATTTATTTAGTATGTGAAATTTCCACTGTTAGAACGACTAATGGTTGTGAGACATCACTACATAACATTCTGCACAGTTTTGGACCTACAGACAAGAACATTTAGGTGCTTTTTGTTCTGTAGGCTGCTGGCACACTATTTAGCTGTGAAGGAAAATGATCTTCCATTTAAAAGGCATTTTCACTGAGAGGATTGTGACCCAGCCAGGAGAACTAAAGGCACTTTTAATGACAGTGGTTTTGTAAAGCTCTACCTCATCATTAGTAACGGATTGCAGAGACTCCATTTGTCAGGCATGAAAGCAAAAAGACTGTTCAAATTCACAGCAGGGAAAATCACATACTGGATTTGATAAAGCCAATATTAATGTGCAAGTTTTAACTGTAGGGTTATTCTGTCTCAACCCCCTACTCTCACCTCTAGTCTCCACTATTTTTCCTGCTAGGCAGCATCCAAGGCATTATTACCTGCAGAGAACACTATCTCAGTATAAGCTGATAAATCCATTTTATGGCTAGAGTGAAGTATGAAAAAAAAACACAAAACATTCAGGAGACCAATGAAGTTCACTTATAAAATTTACCATTGCTAGTAAGCAGAGGTGACTGTAAGAAGGCAACATTTTTTGGAACCTTTTGAAAAATGCAATTAATGGGCTCTCCATTTTGTAGTAAATGTGAAGGAATGCTGCAATTTTTGCGGAGAAATAAGAAATGATCTGTGCAGCCTGGAAGTAGTGGGCAACAAAATGCAATTTCTGTGCAGTGTATAGGAGAGGCAAAGATCAGGCCTAGTGCTGAAGTCTCAGTGATACTCAGTTAAGTCTGTACACCTCATGACCAGATTGGGACCTGTAATTTTTTTCTTGCTACTCTGCTTTTCAGTAGCTCTTTCCATCCTTCAAAGTCTGTTCCAAAATCACAGGTTTCTACATCTGCTTTTGGCTCACATCCTTCCCTGTGGTGGGGAAGACATGGGTAAAGGCTCAAGATTTGTCAGCTTTTGCTGAGAGAAATGCAAGACTAGTAAAAGTATAAAACTAAAACGTAATCAATCTACCCTTTGAACTATGGGTGTGGGAAAAAGTGTTAATAAGGAAAAAAACACCTGAACATGCTTGGTTTTTTGTTTTTCGTTGGTTTTTTTTTTTTTTTTTTTTTTGGATCAGTTCTGTGTTTTTTTGTGTCTGAAAACATTCTTCAAGAAACAATATGAATGAAGTACGTTTCAAACTGAAAGCGTCATTTATATATTCATATTTTAAAACCCTGCTTATTTGGAAATAAAAATTCAAATTGGTAATAAACTTATGGAGGGAATCCAAGTGCAGTTTTCTTCCAACTTATGAACTGATTCATGTGGCCATGTTTTCACTGTTTTTTATTTGTAAACAAATTATCCAGGGCCTCAGTCAGTGTTGGTGGGGATAAATGTAAAAAAAACAGGTTGATCACATTGCAAAGCAAAAGGTCCTACAACATCTGCTTGGATCTTTACTATCGCTATCATTTTTATGGGAAGGCTGATTAAAATACAACAGCACTGATTATAGTATATATAAATATCACAGACAGATTCACTGAGTCCTCCCTCTTGTCTAAAGCTGAGTCTGCAATAAAGATCTTATCTGTACATTCACAACTTCAGCTTTAATTCATGCTGACAATTCTGTACGTGCCAAAGATGCACCTGTTGGATGAAATTATATTCATGGCAATCTTTGCATAATTTATTTTATTTGGTAGTGTACTGATGTGCTAGTAAGGGTGATGAAGACAACTGCAGTGTTCTGGCATGCCGTCTAAACATCCACAATGATGTAAAATTGCTCTGAGAAATGAACTGACAGCAGATTTCTTCTCTCTGCCAGTCACCTTCATCAGTGGTTAAGATACAGTGGATATGTGTTACTTCGCCTGTCAATGCTGTATGCTACTGAATCATATTCTAAGTAACAGCCACAGTAATGGCACCAACAGCAGAACAGCTGTCATGACAGGCAAGAAGAGCTCTGTCTCCATTCGGCACAGCCTCTAAAGGTTCAGCTCATTTATGAATCTTGTGTGGGGGAGGAGGTACTGAAGCTACATGTACCTGACACTCAACCTTGGAGATCAGTGCCATCTATTTACTTAAAGATGACTGAGTGCCCGTCACCTGCTGTGCGGGATCACGCATATTTCATTTTAGAGGCCATGGAAACCCAAGTGCTCCTGTAGTACTGCACAGCCATGCACTCTGTTATGACAGGTCTGGAGCTTGTTGTTTTGCCTATAGTAAAGCAGATGCAGAAAACAACCATTCTTTCTGGCGATTATGTCGGCAGCCCAGCAGAGCAGTCACACATCTAGGAAAGTAAATATGATGTCAGTGTGTAATGATGGGAGGAAAAATAGAGAGATTATGTCCTTGTGTCAACTGTGTAGCAGTACTGGAGCACTGCTTGTGTTTAAATGTCTGCTGATGCCAATTCTGTTGACTATCTTCCTTCCACAAATAGTGACAGAAGTGACTGCAGAACAAGTTCATGTTAGCACTGCACTTCAACAACAAATGCACGCATGAGGTTTTTCTAATAACTGTTTCTACGTAATAAATCGTGTATATACGGTGCTGTTTCTGGGCATACATAATGGTTATATCCAGTGTTTTCATCTCGGCAGTCCTTCCGGCGTTCGACCGAGCTTCTCGCGCTACAGGGAAAGCCCGGACTCTTCTTGCGGCCGCCATGCGGGTGGGAGGGCTTTCTGCCGGCGCCGCGGCTGCTCTCCGCCTTCCAGTGCTTCGTGGCGCCGCCCTCTCGAGGGCTAGGAGACCGCTAGCCCGTTTCTCCTGCAGGGCTTTGTCGCTAGTAACGGCGAGAGTGCTGCGTTGGCAGGAAGCCGAGGTGCGGCGGGGCCACGGCCGGACGTAGGGTACAAGAAAGAAGCCCATTGCGCTTCCCCCGCCCGGGCTGGGCGAGTGCTTGATAAAGCGTTCGGGAGGAGTTGGTGTCAGGGCTCCAGTGGCGCAATCGGTTAGCGCGCGGTACTTATACAGCAGTACTAAAGCCGAGCAATGCCGAGGTTGTGAGTTCGAGCCTCACCTGGAGCACAGAGCTTTTTGAGAGAAAGAAAGGGCTTTTTTTAAGACTGCTCCTGAGGAGGAAATGGAGGAACTGATAAGCTTATGGAAAAATTACGTGCGCGCTTCTAAGCGTGTCCCTGCTGCCACGGAGGTGTGGAGCCATGTGTGTGGGCGAATTCCTTGTGCTTGTTCTAGAAGCGGAGGGGAAGTGGTTGCACACAGGGAGTGCTTGCAGGGGCACCTTTTCTATACATTTGGTTGTGTAGACACATGCTTACACAGATGCATCTTTAATACTTTTATAGAGCAGCTTTTTAGTATGGAGTAGTCAACGTTTTCCTGGTAAAGCTCCATTTGCAACCTTGCAGGAAATAAAGGTTGCTTTATCGTAGCTTATTTAACACAGCGCCAACTGTTGACTACTGCGATCACTACAAGCGATCCTTTCCTTTGGCTCCTTCAGCATGCATATTCACCGTAACTACTCGTTAATATGGTAATGTTTTGCAAATGTGTAGTCCACAGAAGGAAGGAAAAGAACTAAAATAATTTCAGATTTGCTTTTATAATTGGAGAAGTGGCAAGGCTGGAGAAAAAGGGAAATTTCTTGGGGAAAGAGAAAGTTGGAAGCGTTTAGGCCCAAAGCTTGTAAAAATGCCTGTTAGCATCTGTCTAACCTACTATTACTGCACTGTAACTTATATAAATAGTAACTTATATAAATAGTTTATTGAGAACCTTGGGATTGTGCAGCCAGAGGCATCACCATTGCCCAAATCAGCCCACAGGTGTGTTACTGCAGGCACTTAATTCCTTGATGCTCCTTTTCTAATTTCAGTCCTTCAGTTACCACATCTTCCCAATACTAGCCACCACCTTGGCCCCTCTGTATTTTTCAGGAACTTCACCACTGTTTTCAGTGATGGTACACTTCTGGCTGAGGTGTGCGCCATGTGCACTCAGCATGATGAGGCCTAAATAGAGCAGAGATACAATTCACCTTCTGTTTGCTGTTTCACATTTTCTCCTTCGTGAATGAGTACATCAAAATGATGGGGGGTGAAGACAGGATGGAGTTTGCACAAGTGTTGGCATAGTAAAAAAGAAAGTGAAAGCGCTGTTTCTGTGCAACTGAAAAGAAGAATAACAGAAAGCCTGTTGTTTGTCATGACAGAGGCAACCTGCTCTTCAGGCTGGACCCACCTAATGAAGACTTGGGGAAAAATACAACTTCCTTCTCTCCCTGACTAGCAGGAGCCTTATGTTTGTAATAAAGGTTTTGGCTTGGTTTGCTGAGGGTGATACCACAATTTTTACCATATCCATATCCATTTTTACCACAATTTTTACCATTTACTACGTCCAAGGAACACAAAATGGACGCTATTTGCTGAACTCACAGCAGCGGCCCAGCTTCTCTGTAACGTGCTTCTGCTGTACCAGAGAGCAGCTGGACAAGCAGTAAGAATTGCACAGTGCTGTAGCCTCCTTCAAGGCCTCCATCATCCTTGAGATCTTTCCTTCTCTCTCAAAGGGGATTTCTATCCTGCCTCTGAAGAAAAAAAAAAAAAAAAAAAAAAAAAAAAACAGAAAAACCCCCACTAAGATTGCCATGTGACAAACACCTGTTTGCATTCCTGCAGTATTTTACACTCCTGATTGCTTAACACCTGTGAGAGATACAAGATGGGGATTTCACACTGGAGGTCATATAAAATCAGGACAGTTAAGGGGGAATTCACTCAGCTTGCACAACAAAAGTATGTTATTTACCTGCATGTAATGGCTGTTTGTGAAACAGATTGTACAGAACTTTTACAAAAGTCTGATTACATCCTGAGGAACGCTGGACCATGAGGTAAGATAAATTAAAGCATGGGGGGGGGGGAGGGTTGTGACTCTTTATGGCCTGTCTGTGGACACCTGGTGGTGCTAGGATATCCCTTTGTTCTGGTGTGAATGCCCTGGGCCTTACTGCCAGCCTCTTGAGGCACGAGGAAAAAGGGTGCTATGTTGGAGCAGAGGTTAGTGAGTTTGTGTTTTCCTTTGGGTGGCAGCTGTGGACTTGTTTGCTGCTATTTGCTTCTCTCTGCTCCTCTCTGCTCTGGTGAAACAGTGAAGTTGGATGCTCTGGGAAGGTTGTTCAGGGTGGGTGCTCGTGGAGCTGTGGGCTTGGGAAGCCCTGGTCCTGCCTTGTGTTCTCTCTAGCTCTGACAAAGTGCCCCAGTCTGCTTATTGTCCCTCCATTTAAAGGTATTTTTTGGGAAAGTGGGTGTCTTAAGGCTTAGGAGAAAAAAGTATGTATTTTTGTTTATCCTAAAGGTTTCTTTTGTTTTATTGGGCTTCCAGGTCCTGAACTATTGGTTGCTGCTTCAATTTTAGTTGGTAGTGGCTTATATGTATAAGCATGTAAATTGTTATGTATGTAAATCTACCCTTATGCTATTACTGCAGTGTCTACATGTGACTGGTATTTTCTAAAACTTTTGTGTGATATATATATACGTCACCCAACTGTTTTCTAGGTATAAGGTGCTAGATGTACTAAGGTGATTCAGGGAGAGGTATTTCCTCTCCTCTTTCTTGCTTCTTTTCCCTGGTAACAGCCTGTTCAGCTGTTTCTCATTCTCTTTTTGATAAGTAGACAGCCAGATGCTGTCTGTGTCCCTCAGACCCGCTGCTGTGTGTCAGTGTCCTCATAGGTGACCTCAGTTTGGCCAAGGCTGCAACGGCTGTGGCTCAGACAGTTCCCTGGGCATTCCTGGAAGCATTCTCAGAAGGCAGGGTTTCTCTTTTTTGGCACTGTGGTTCTTCCATTCTGGCCAGTTTACTTAGGGATGCAGGTCTTGTATCCAGTACCATGTTTTTTCATTTTTCTACGTGTGAACATCATGATTGTGGGCCCATAGCTCCCTAGCTCCTCTGAAATCCTTCCCGGGTCCCTTTTAAAGGTCCCTCTCTTTTAAATTACTGTTGTTCTTCATTCAGTGTTAAGTATGGAGTTACGCTTACTCTGTGGTGTTTTTCTAATTGCCTTGAGTTCCTTCTCACTGACTGGAAAGAGAGATTGTTTTATAGATTATTAGAGAAACAAATATACTTGTTACTTATTGCTAGAGGAAGAATTTTACAAAGATCCATCTGTTGAGTGGTTGTGAATGATAAATAATAATCATCTTATAGAACAGGTTTTACATTTACATATTTCTTGCATGGCATATCCCACTGGAATGGGAGATGCAGGGTGGTATGAGAAGGTAGGACAGAGTTATTGCACATGACTACTTATTATTTTGATACAACTTCTTGCCACTTATTCTGCCTGTTGCATGTTGATGTAGTCCTGATTTTTGTGAGGCTCTTGAGTGTTTCTTAATACTATTTGAGTGTATTGATCTTGAAATTTCCACTGTACTGAGTTTTGTGTACTCCAAAAAATGTCTATAAAATATTATGGTGAAGACTTGGTCTGCTTAATTGTTTTGAATCCAAAGTAATATTTTAGTCTTAATAAATAGCGAATAAGAATATGCTTTTCTTAATTCTTCCAATAGATGGCACTGTGATCCCACAATGAAAAAGGAAAACCCAAGCAAGTGTTCCCAGACATCCTAAAAATAGAAATTGCTTGCAAGTGTTTCCTTGTGTGCAGCAGAGAACAATAGGCAAAAAAATTCCAAGGGTAATTCCAAGATAAACCAAATCAACTGGAGGTATAGGTACTTTTTTTTGCTAGTGATTTATTTATCTTTTGTGTGTAACATCTTGAGGAACTCTCTGAAATTAAAATCTGTTGATTAGTTGTGTTGAGAGTAACAGAAGTGTATAGGATGTGTCATGTTTTTTCAAGTCTGTATGAATTCAGTGCTGTTTCAAAGTACCAGCACAGCAGGCCCAGCTTGGATTCTGCTAAACAAACCTGCTCAAGAAGAGCTGTTGTTAGAGGCTCTCTTGCAGAGCTGCCTAAAGTCCAGTTGGCTGCTTCCTGTTGAGGATTCCCATACTATGGAGATAGTAAATTAAGAAACTGCAGCTGGGAGGGGAGGAATAGAGTATAGATTCTTGCAAACCAAGGGGAAAGACTTGTTTAACCCAAATCTTAATGTGCAGCTGAGGAAAAGGATAATAAAGGGCATTTCAGTAGAAAAGCTCATAAGGAGGACTCATGTATTGCACTTTGAACCCCAGTTTGTAGAGGTAACAAGAATGATATGGCAGAGTGTAGGCAGACAAAGAAAAGCAGAAGAAAATGGGAGGGAAGATAAAAGGACATAGATGAGGAAGCTTTTTGGGGAGCGTGGTCTGGTTATAGGTGTATGAACATGCTGTATAGGGCAGTGAAAAACAAGTAAATGAGCTTCAGCCAGTTATTCTAGCTTAATAGAGCTCCTATAGAAAGCAAATTAGCCTGCACATTTTGCTTAAGCAAAGAGTATCTCAAGAGGCAGTTTTTCTTTGTGTATTTTGAGCAGTTACTTCAGTGTACCAATGAAAGGGAACCCTCAGCCTCTCTAGGGATTAGAGTGGGTGTGGGAGGGCTGGAGAGCTCAGCTTTCTGGCTTGGAAAGGAAGGAAGTGGATAATCAGTACTGGTGTTTGTGCCCATTTAATTTTCTTGCTTATGCTGAGTTTCCTGTGTTAGGTTCTGCTTTTAAGGTGGAAAAAGACTCCTGTTTTTTCCAAATAGTTTTGGTTCAGCCTAAATATTTGAAAACTTGGAAAAGACTCAAGACACAGCAAGACAAACTAAACCAAACCCAGAGAAAGAACAAGCTAGGAAAGTAGCTGAAATGGCAGGGGGTAGAGCCTGTGATTACAAATGCTGGTGGAGGCATGTTCCCATGAAGGAGGGAATCAAGCCTGTACTGCCTGCTTTAGCTGAGAGAGCTTTCATTGTGAGGCAGCAGATTTAGGGTATTGTTAGGAAATGTATCTGAAAATTTTACCACAAAACACACATATGTTAGAGAAATAATTCTTAATGGTTTATCTTTTGGAAAAAAGAATGTATAAAATACCTATGCCACAGGTCATGCAGGTTTGTGGTATAGCTTGGAGTTAGGTATTTTTTTCAAGTATTAGAAAGAAGTTGTCAGATTGATTGCAAACATCAATAACTAGAATTATTTGCAAGGTAGAGGATAATAAAACTCTGAGTCAATTTACTTCACTGCATGCATTTATTTTATGTATATCCTAGTCATTTGGTAAGCATTATAGTTAATCAATTCTAATCCTTAAAATTAAGTACTATTTGTTCACTGTTTAACAGAGGACATTCATCTGTCTTTAAGGAGAGTCACATCAGACTTGTTCAAGCAAGCATGAAGCCCAGTTAATATTAAAACTGTTATTAATGCAATTGTATGTAGCTTTGTTAGTGTACTACGTTCTGGAAAATCTTCTGCTTTTGTGTAAACTCATTTGCCATTGTGGCAGGATGAAAATGTTTTACAAGTGAAGTTGTGTCCACCTCATTTGGGATAATGATAATAGATTTGAGGGTGCTCTCAGTCAAGGGGAATAGGGAATGTATCTGTGAAGTGCCCAGGCCTGAGGCTTGGAGATTTGCTCTTGAGTATGCTCAGGAGCACTTGCAGAAGGGCTCAGCTTCAGAGGGATGCCTTGAAGCAGGAAGCATCCTTGCATATCCTTCCTTCTCTCTCCATCCACATTTTCCTGTATGCTTGCTGCCTGCTTAGACTTGCGCATTTTGGACAACAACTCTAAGGATTTTACATTACACTGCAAGATCTATACCAGCTGCCTCATGTCAATGTGGCTGCAGATGTTGTCCTGTGAATCCATCTGTGAATTGCTTTGGATGTACTGTGTTTCCCAGGGGGGCTCGATGTGGACATGCATGGCTGTAGAGTGATCACAGCTGGGGTCTTGGGCCCCAATTAACTTATTGTGTCTCTTATTCTAGTTCTCTGGAGATAAAGACTTCTGTTTCCTTAGTTTCAAGTGCACTGTGGTCTGTCTTCATTCTTGAAGACAAACTTGTTATCTGACAACTTAAGGTACTTGTCCCGGCACCTTTAGATGCCTGTTTACCAGAATGCCCCACAGGATTTGTATACTCTTGAAACATCCACCAAACTTTCAAGGCTGCTTAGGGCATGTGTAATATTGATGCTGGTCTACTTAGTTCTAAGCATCTAGATGTTGCAAAAACTGCTTTTCATTGCAAATGTAATGTATTTGAGGTGTTCTTATGTGAGAGCTGAGTATTACACTGAGGTTTGGAAAATCAGTATCTGCAATTCATGCTTTCTTTTTGCTGTTTCTTGTCTCTGTACGTTAGACTCAATTAGTGTTGGTACTCTGAGCAGTTATTTCGCTAACACTGCTGAAGAATGCTGACCTGTCTGAAAACTGTGGCCATCCCATGTGCTCTTGAGTATCCAGACTCACCAGCTGAGGCTTGCTGTTTCTGTGAGGCAAATGTAGAAACTGATCAGATAGCTTGTACGTGAGTGTGTTTAAAATTACCTGTGGATGGTGGTGTGGGTAGTTTTACTTTTTCAGGTGCATGAAGCTCAAGTCTAGTGAGATGGTTGGACATCTCAGCATTCTCCCATGGATTACTGAAAGCTGAGGAGCATTCCAATTGCAGCCTGTCATCTAAATGCTTCCAAAAGTAAAGATCAAACTGTCAAGCAGCTGAGATGAACTGTTTTTGGAATGTAGTTTTAAAGTATAATACAAATGAGTACATTTTCATCATGTCAGTGTATGTGCCTCATGCTCTAGAAGTGGATGGAGTTTGGCCAAAAATAATGGGAAGCTTACATCTGGCTGAAAGGAAACCAGAAATTTCATGGGACTTCAAAGTATGACCCACTGCTTCATTCA